ACACAAACAGATACCAACACCCATACTCCCTCCACACTAATATACAGACACCAACACCCACACCATCCCTCAACACACACACACATACACAGACATACAGACACCAACACCCATACCCCGTTCACTCACACAACACACAACACGTAACACACACCTCACACCTCACACCTCACACTCACACTCACACTCACACACACACACACACACACACACACACACACACACACACACACACACACCTCACACTCACACTCACCTCACACTCACACTCACACACACACACCTCACACACACACACACACACACACACACACACACACACACACACACACACTCTCACACACACTCTCACACACGCTTCAGGCAGCTTTGGAAATGCTTACCGTTTGGCGTCATCACTGATTTTAAGTGACCTATTTATATACATGAGATCACTGTTTTGCCAATTTATGCCCAATGGAAGCCGTTTCGGTTGATGATTATTCTTTCGCGTTGACTTTTTGAATTTAAAAAGATTCTTGTCCAATTTACGCTTTGTAAATGTAAGCAGCGACCGCAGATTCGCTGATTTCCGCTGTCAAACACCGCCCTAAAGTATGAATGAGACCCATAAATCCCACAGAGAATCCTATGCAGTTGTAATGACTTTTGATCACAGATTCCGGTACAACGTACATATATGCTCAGCCAGGTCCGAAAGAAACAAAGTGAGGTTTAGACAAACGTTGACTAAATGCGTTGCATATGTCATATGATTGCTCGCACTCTTCATGCTGCCCGGGGTCTGTCAGGTAGCCTAGTGGTTAAAGCGTTCGCTCGTCACGCCGAAGACCCGGCTTCGATTCCCGACATGGGTACAATTTGTGAAGTGTCTGGTGTCCCCCTTTCGTGGTATTGCTGGAATTTTGCTAAAAGTGGAGTCACCCACTCACTCATACTGCTCCGTGAGGATTCATGATTAGAACAGGTCCCGAGCAACCTATGCTGGTCGTTAAAGGCGATGATCACGTCGATTATGATAGCGTGGCATCGAATTCCGGGGGTAGGGATCATTGTTCACAATATCAATCACTAGCTATTTATAAGCCGCTGGCATACAGCAGGAATATGGCTGAGTGCGGCATTGAACAACAAACAAACAAATCATACTGAATTCTAGCGCTCGTCTGTGTTTCTCGAATTTTCAACATTTATTCACTTGAATTCCAAGAAGCTATATTAAGAATCCGAGTACAAAATAGGCTCGCGACCTCAAGCATACAGTGTATATACTAGTATTATATACCACAGGCCCCTGTTCGGTGGCAATGAGTTCTTCCGTTGCACTTTCAGCGCCTGTTGTTTCCAAATATAGATGTTCGCACATCGTGTGTTCATCCGGACAATCGCTATTGTTAAACCCACAACACATTTAAATTTCAGGACATCCTGATCCTGCATCAATGTTTGTGTGTGCATAAATCATATTTTTATCGAGTATTTCGGGAAGATAAAACTGACGGTCCTTGAATCATATGCGTTGACGACCATTGTGTGATATTCAACAGTGGCGTGCTTATATATCCTTTTTTGCGTCAATTTCTCGAATGTGATATGATCGTTTTAGGGCGTCATACATATATTATATATACAACTCAGATCTCCCCTCAACTCACAAGGCGATCGCGTATATTCCGTACCCGGTTATTGGTTTGTTTGTTTGTTTGTTTGTTTGTGTGTTTATTTGTTTGTTTGTTTGTTTGTTGCATTCAGCAATATTACAGCTATAGGACGGCGGTCAGTAAATAATCGAGTTTGGAACAGACAATCCATCATGAGCATTGATCCACACAATTGGGATACGATGACATGGATCAACCAAGTCAGCGAGCCTGACCACCCAATCCCGTTAGTCGCCTCTTTCGACCAGCATATCGGCTTTTGCGGCAAGCATGGTTTGCTCAAGACCTACTCTAACCCGGATCTTCGCGGTTGGTGGTAATGCCCAATTAGCTTCCTCATTAATGCTTTTAAAATTCGTTTGGGGTTTTACATATACAGACCTTAGGGAATATTAATCAAGCGCGATAGCACTAAGTTTTCTCACTGTCTTTACTCGGCCATTAGATTGTGCATCATACCGTCTACATAATGATGTAAGAAAAATCAAATACATGCACTACAAGTGACGGGCTGTCTAACAAATGGGAGGATACGACTGTCCTGGCCCGCCACGCGTTGACGGCGTGATAGTCTAATAAAATTCTTAATAAGTAATAAAACAATTATTCATAGTTTTTTGCGAATTTTTCGCAAACTATTCGCAAATTATTCACGAATTATTTGCGACTTATCGCGGAATATCTGCGGATTAGTCATATATTTTCTACACGACAACAAACTTTTGCGTTGTAGAGTATGTCAGAATAAAATATATAGGAAGTATAATAGTGAGTGAGTGAGTTAAAATTCAACGTCGCATCGGCACTGTTTCAGCCAAATTGCATATAGACCAAGTTAATATATTTACAACTTAGTTATATATGCAAAGTTTGATTTAAAAAACAAGTTGTGATACATATTTGAGCATACTATATTTAAGAACAGTTCATGAAACATATTTGAGCAAAACAATATGATGTATACAGTTTTAAAACACGGGATATTTTGGCCACCAGGAACCACAGCTAGGCCACCTCGCCGGGGATCATGGAGACTGACAGTACCTCTGCTTCCTGCATGATACCCAGCAGGATTTACGTCATCACTTTAGCTACTGGTGGTTGTGCACAATACTAGTCAATATAAAAAAATACTCAGCAATGAGTTGGCTTAAAAACACTGGTTGATAATAGTTACATCGATTGTGATAGGGAAGTGTAATAGCATGTCCGAATTTCTGTATGAACCTACCATACGTCATGAGGAAGACGACTAGGTTCTATAAAAATCCTAACAATGTGAGGGAAGTGATTCACATATCCGGTGATGTGTGGGATGCCACTGACGCTGTAGATCCGTTTCATATAAATTTATTGGAAAGAGGATCTGCATTTATGCATGCTATTGGATGCCGCCTTTGTCTGTTGTGTAGCCGGGGTGTTGTCACGACAGGAAATGACACATTCGTCAATGACGAATAGAAAACAGTAATTACCCACATGATTTTGTATGCATGAACTGTGTTGAAATACGTATTCCAATAACCGGTCATTTCTTTTAAACACTCACTCACTCACTCACTCACTCACTCACTCACTCACTCACTCACTCACTCACTCACCCACCACCCACCCTCACTCACTCACTCACTCACTCACTCACTCACCCATCCGCTCGCTCGCTCGCTCACCCACCCTCACTCACTCACTCACTCACTCACTCACTCACTCACTCACTCACTCACTCACTCACTCACTCACTCACCCACCAACCACCCTCACTCACTCACTCACTCACTCACTCACTCACTCAATCACTCACTCACTCACTCACTCACTCAATCACTCACTCACTCACTCACTCACTCACTCACCCACCCATCCGCCCGCTCGCTCGCTCGCTCGCTCGCTCACCCACCCTCCCTCCCTCACTCACTCACTCACTCACTCACTCAGTCACTCACTCACTCACTCACCCACCAACCCATCCACCCACCCACCCACTCACTCACTCACTCACTCACTCACTCACTCACTCACTCACTCACCCACCCACTCACTTACTCACTCACTCACCCACCCAAACACCCACCCACCCACTCACTCACTCACTCACTCACTCGGTTGCCCGTCTTGATTATGTGGCGCAACACCTTACGTGCTCATTCATTTCTCTTTTTCGCTTGTCGTAATGTATTATCGAGTAATTATATGTTATTCGTTGATTTGATTTTTTCTGTTTTACGGTTGTTTTGTTTGTCTGTGTTTGTTGTGTGAAACGCACACGGCAATATTCCCGCTATATGACGGCGGTCTGTAAATAATCGAATATGAACAGGACAATCTCGTGACTGACATTATGAGCATCTATCTATGCAACTGGAAAATGATGATGACGTGCATGTACCAAGTGAGCGAGCCACTTACGACAACCATGGGTTGCTGAATTCTAACCCTGATCTTCATTGGGGTGCTGTTTTCAACAGTAAATCAGTTACACCACAACATGACAGTTCCATGTAGGCGGAAAGCCGTCCTGTTGCGTTTACTGCTTTACCATCGAGCACGGGTATTGTGTTGACAGACCAAGTATAATAATTGAGGCTAATCTGGGATTTCGAATCAACCACAAGCGTTGTTGGCAAAGAGACGCAACCTACAGCGAATTGTTGGGCCCGAGAACCTCGTGCTCACCCACGCGCACCAAGTTATGATGACAGCAATATACATGTATATTCTGATCATCGATTTCGTTGCCTGCAGATTGTTTAGTTTGACTCAACGCTCAGCGACAGTCCAGGTAGATGTTGTACAAAACAACCTTAGCGATACGACTGTCGTAATTCTATGCATGTTAAGGTATGGGAGGTGTATTTGAGGTGTAAACTTTCAACTTTGCACCCCGCGTGTTCTTTGTTTTTGTCTAGTTTGCATTTTCATCATAGCCTTGATAATCCAGATATGACGGAAACCTTTTTATGTAGGGTCACATAATTTATGAGTAGTAAGCAGCACATAGGATGACGTCACTTATGACAGTGGTGTCATGTATTAATGCGCTACTGCAATCATGAGAATAGACAAATTCATCGGTTCGATGCCAAAAAGGTGCGATTTTGGGGGGTGTAAGAAACAGATTACTGCACTCGTGCGTGTATCTGACAGACACTCATGTAGTAATATCTATTTCCTACACAGTGATTCGGTCGCTTGCTTCAGGGAATGCAAATCCTATTTTCACCCTTTGGCAATTGGTCATGTGACCCAAATCAGCCAATCACAACACAGAACACACTTTCTGTAGATTTACAATGGACATCAATGATGTTTCCTTCCTTCATGCTACACATATAAAATACCAGCAGATTGACCGGTTCAGTGATTGTACAAGAGGATGGCGAGATTGTGGACGTTTTTCTTTCTTGCTCTGACAGTTAACCATTCTCTTCAGTGGCGCGGGTGAGTTATCATGTTTCAAACTTGTTGCTTAAACATAGTTACTCTATTTAATTAGCACCACTGTTTTATCGCAGTACGAATTGGTGCTTTATGTATTATTAAGGGCAAAAATAAACGTCAACCTGTTTTTATTTATCAAATTGTGATTTTTGCCACTTTGCTGGCATGATCATTTGTTTGTAAATCGATCTTTCGCTTATTTTTCTCGTTGTTTCAATTATTCAGTTTTTCGAAATTAAGAGTTGTTTCGTTAATGCGAATTGTCGATTATTTTTTCGTTATTTCAATTATTTAGTATGTTTTCGAAATTTCGATTTTTTCTAACCGCTTATTGGTGACCATTTTGAACGAAGCATCAAGATGAACTGAACATAAATTTACAAGAATATAGAAGAAATAAAATAGGTCTTAACACAATTTTGAAATAACGAGAAAAAACCCGTGAATTGTCGAGAAAGTAATCGAAATAACGACGGAGATATACAATACGAATTTCGATAAAATAATCAAATTTCGAGAAACTAATTGAAATTACGAGAAAAAACTCGATATTTCAATAAAAGAAATTTGCAATAATGAGAGAAAATCTCGAAATTCGAAAAAGAATATTAAATGATGAAATAATGAGAAAGATACTCGAAATTTCGATTTAAAAGCTAACTTATGCTGCCAAAGTGGCAACATTAGGCTTTCGTAACAATGACTTAACTCTAAAAACAACAACTCTCGTTTGAAATTGTACTGAAGAATCAACTGATCAAGGCAACCATCGGCTTTCATAAAAATTGGGGTCGGTGGTGTTGTGGTTAAAAGTAGTTAAAGTTTCGGCTCGTCGTGACGAAGACCCGGGTTCCATTCCACACATGGGTACAATGTGTGAAGCCCATTTTCCGGTATTGAGATCAGATAGAGAGCTGGAGCAGAGGGGTAGGGGGTGTTGAGAAGAAAGTCAGATATAGAGGTGGAGCAGGGGGTAGGGTGTGTTGAGAAGAAAGTCAGATAGAGAACTGGAGCAGAGGGGTAGGGGGTGTTGAGAAGAAAGTCAGATAGAGAGCTGCAGCAGAGGGGTAGGGGGTGTTGAGAAGAGCTTGAGCAGAGGGGTAGCGCGGGTGGAGAAGAAAGTCAGAAAGAGAGCTTAGCAGATGGGTAGGGGATGTTGAGATAAAAGTCAGGTAGAGAGCTTGAGCAGAGGGGTCCCGCGGGTGGAGAAGAAAGTCAGATAGAGAGCTGGAGCAGAGAAGTAGGGGGTGTTGTGAAGAAATTCAGACGGAGACCTGGAGCAGAGAGGTAGGGGAGTTGAGAAGAGCTTGAGCAGAGGGGTAGCGCGGGTGGAGAAGAAAGTCAGAAAGAGAGCTTAGCAGATGGGTAGGGAGTGTTGAGATAAAAGTCAGAAAGAGAGCTTGAGCAGAAGGGTAGGCTGTGTGGAGAAGAAAGTCAGATAGAGAACTGGAGCAGATGGGTAGGGGGTGTTGAGATAAAAGTCAGGTAGAGAGCTTGAGCAGAGGGGTCCCGCGGGTGGAGAAGAAAGTCAGATAGAGAGCTGGAGCAGAGAAGTTGGGGGTGTTGTGAAGAAATTCAGACGGAGACCTGGAGCAGAGGGGTAGGGGAGTTGAGAAGAGCTTGAGCAGAGGGGTAGCGCGGGTGGAGAAGAAAGTCAGAAAGAGAGCTTAGCAGATGGGTAGGGAGTGTTGAGATAAAAGTCAGATAGAGAGCTTGAGCAGAAGGGTAGGCTGTGTGGAGAAGAAAGTCAGATAGAGAACTGGAGCAGATGGGTAGGGGGTGTTGAGATAAAAGTCAGGTAGAGAGCTTGAGCAGAGGGGTAGCGCGGGTGGAGAAGAAAGTCAGAAAGAGAGCTTAGCAGATGGGTAGGGAGTGTTGAGATAAAAGTCAGATAGAGAGCTTGAGCAGAAGGGTAGGCTGTGTGGAGAAGAAAGTCAGATAGAGAACTGGAGCAGATGGGTAGGGGGTGTTGAGGAGAAAGTCAGATAGAGAGCTGCAGCAGAGGGGTAGGGGGTGTTGAGAAGAGCTTTAGCAGAGGGGTAGCGCGGGTCGAGAAGAATGTCAGAAAGAGAGCTTAGCAGATTGGTAGGGGGTGTTGAGATAAAAGTCAGATAAAGAGCTTGAGCAGAGGGGTAGGGGAGTTGAGAAGAAAGTCAGATAGAGAGATGGAGCACAGGGGTAGGTGTGTTGAGAAGAAAGTCACATATAGAGGTGGAGCAGGGGATAGGGGGTGTTGAGAAGAATGTCAGACAGAAAGCTGGAGCAGGGGGTTAGCGGGTGTTGAGAAGAAAGTCAGATAGACAGCTTGAGCAGAGGGGTAGGGGGTGTGGAGAAGAAAGTCAGATATAGAGGTGGAGCACAGGGGTAGCGAGTGTTGAGAAGAAAGTCAGATAGAGAACTGGAGCAGAGGGGTAGGGGGTGTTGAGAAGAATGTCAGATAGAGAGCTGCAGCAGAGGGGTAGGGGATGTTGAGAAGAGCTTTAGCAGAGGGGTAGCGCGGATCGAGAAGAAAGTCAGATAGAGAGCTGGAGCAGAGGAGTAGGGGGTGTTGAGAAGAAATTCAGACGGAGACCTGGAGCAGAGGGGTAGAGGGAGTTGAGAAGAAAGTCAGATAGAGAGATGGAGCACAGGGGTAGGGGTGTTGAGAAGAAAGTCACATATAGAGGTGGAGCAGGGGATAGGGGGTGTTGAGAAGAATGTCAGACAGAAAGCTGGAGCAGGGGGGTAGCGGGTGTTGAGAAGAAAGTCAGATAGACAGCTTGAGCAGAGGGGTAGGGGGTGTTGAGAAGAAATTCAGACAGACAGCTGGAGCAGAGGGGTAGGGGGTGTTGAGAAGAAATTCAGACGGAGACCGGGAGAAGAGGAGTAGGGGAGTTGAGAAGAAAGTCAGATAGATAGGTGGAGCAGAGGGGTAGCGGGTGTTGAGAAGAAAGTCAGATATAGAGGTGGAGCACAGGGGTAGCGAGTGTTGAGAAGAAAGTCAGTTATAGAGGTGGAGCAGAGGGTAGGTGGTGTTGAGAAGAAAGTCAGTTATAGAGGTGGAGCAGAGGGTAGGGGGTGTTGCGAAGAAAGTCAGAAAGAGAGCTTGAGCAGATGCGTAGGGGGTGTTGAGAAGAAATTCAGACAGACAGCTGGAGCAGAGGGGTAGGGGGTGTTGAGAAGAAATTGAGACGGAGACCGGGAGAAGAGGAGTAGAGGAGTTGAGAAGAAAGTCAGATAGATAGGTGGAGCAGAGGGGTAGCGGGTGTTGAGAAGAAAGTCAGATATAGAGGTGGAGCACAGGGGTAGCGAGTGTTGAGAAAAAAGTCATTTATAGAGGTGGAGCAGAGGGTTAGGGGGTGTTGAGAAGAAAGTCAGACAGAGAGCTGCAGCAGAGGGGTAGCGGGTGTACATGTTGAGAAGAAAGTCAGATAGAGAGCTGCAGCAGAGGGGTAGCGCGGGTCGAGAAGAAAGTCAGATAGAGAGCTTGAGCAGAGGAGTAGGGGTGTTGAGAAGAAAGTCAGATAGAGAGCTGTAGTAGGGGGGTAGGGGGTGTTGAGAAGAAATTCAGACAGAGAGCTGGAGCAGGGGGTATCGAGTGTTGAGAAGAAAGTCAGATAGAGAGCTGGAGCAGAGGAGTAGGAGGTGTTGAGAAGAAATTCCGACGGAGAGCTGGAGCACAGGGGTATGGGGTGTGGAGAAGAAAGTCAGATATAGAGGTGGAGCAGGGGGTAGGGGGTGTTGAGAGTTAAGTCAGATAGAGAGTTGGAGCACAGAGATAGCGGGTATGGAGAAGAAAGTCAGATATAGAGGTTGAGCAGAGGGTTAGGGGGTGTTGAGAAGAAATTCAGACAGAGAGCTGGAGCAGGGGGTAGCGAGTGTTGAAAATTTGTTTGAAATTGTACTGAAGAATCAACTGATCAAGGCAACCATCGGCTTTCATAAAAATTGGGGTCGGTGGTGTTGTGGTTAAAAGTAGTTAAAGCTTCGACTCGTCGTGACGAAGACCCGGGTTCCATTCCACACATGGGTACAATGTGTGAAGCCCATTTTCCGGTATTGAGATCAGATAGAGAGCTGGAGCAGAGAGTAGGGGGTGTTGAGAAGAAAGTCAGATATAGAGGTGGAGCAGGGGGTAGGGTGTGTTGAGAAGAAAGTCAGATAGAGAACTGGAGCAGAGGGGTAGGGGGTGTTGAGAAGAACGTCAGATAGAGAGCTGCAGCAGAGGGGTAGGGGGTGTTGAGAAGAAATTCAGACAGAGAGCTGGAGCAGAAGGGTAGGGGGTGTTGAGAAGAAAGTCAGATATAGAGTCGGAGCAGTGGGTAGCGAGTGTTGAGAAGAAAGTCAGATTGAGAGCTCTAGCAGAGGGGTAGGGTGTGTTGAGAAGAAAGTCAGATAGAGAGGTGGAGGAAAGGAGTAGGGGGTGTTGGAAAGAAGGTGAGATAGAGAGTTTGAGCAGAGGGGTAGTGGGTGTTGAGAAGAAAGTCTTATATAGAGGTGGAGCAGGGGTTAGAGGGTGTTGAGAAGAAATTCAGATAGAGAGCTGGATCAGGGGTTAGAGGGTGTTGAGAAGAAATTCAGATAGAGAGCTGGAGCAGAGGGGAAGGAGGTGTTGAGGAGAAAGCTACATAGAGAGCTTGAGCAGAGGTGTAAGGGGTGTTGAGAAGAAATTGAGACGGAGACCTGGAGCACAGGGGTTGGGGGTGTTGAGAAGAATTTCAGATAGAGAGCTGGAGCAGAGGGGTAGGGTGTGTTGAGAAGAAAGTCAGATAGAGAGGTGGAGGAAAGGGGTAGGGGGTGTTGGAAAGAAAGTGAGATAGAGAAGTTTGAGCAGAGGGGTAGGGGGTGTTGAGAAGAAATTCAGACAGAAACCTGGAGCTGAAGGGTAGGGGGTGTTGAGAAGAATTTCAGATAGAGAGCTGGAGGACAGGGGTAGCGGGTGTGGAGGAGAAATTCAGATAGGGAGCTGGAGCAGAGGGGTAGGGTGTGTTGAGAACAAAGTCAGATAGAGAGGTGGAGCAGGACGTAGCGGGTGTTGAAAAGAAAGTCAGATAGAGGGCTGGAGCAGCAGGGTAGGGGCTGTGAGAAGAAAGTCAGATAAAGAGCTGGAGCAGCAGGGTAGGGGGTGTTGAGAAGAAGTTAGACAGAGAGATGGAGAAGGGGCTGGCCGGTGTTGAAAAGAAAGTCAGATAGAGAGCTTGAGCAGATGGGAAGGGGTGTTTAAAAGAAATTCAGATAGAGAGCTGGCGCAGAGGGGTAGGGGGTGTTGAGAAGAACGTCAGATAGAGAGCTGGAGCAGAGGGATAGGGGGTGTTGAGAAGAAAGTCAGATAGAGAGCTTGAGCAGAGGGGTAGCGCGGGTGGAGAAGAAAGTCAGATAGAGAGCTTGAGCAGAGTTGTAAGGGTTGTTGAGAAGAAATTGAGACGGAGACCTGGAGCACAGGGGTAGGGGGTGTTGAGAAGAAAGTCAGATATAGAGGTGGAGCAGGGGGTAGGGGGTGTTAAGAAGAAAGTCAGATAGAGAGCTGGAGCAGAGGGGTAGCGGGTGTTGAGAAGAAAGTCAGATAGAGAGCTGGAGCAGAGGGGTAGAGGATGTTGAGAAGAAAGTCAGATAGAGAGCTGGAGCAGAGGAGTAGCGGGTGTTGAGAAGAAGGTCAGATAGAAAGCTTCAGCAGAGGGGTAGGGTGTGTTGATAAGAAAGTCAGATAGAGAGCTGGAGCAGAGGGGTAGGGGACGTTGAGAAGAAAGCTAGATAGAGAGCTTGAGCAGAGGGGTAAGGGGTGTTGAAAAGAAATTCAGACAGAGAGCTGGAGCAGAGGTGTAGGGGTGTTGAGAAGAAAGCCAGATAGAGAGCTTGAGCATGGGGTAGCGGGTGTTGAGAAGAGAGTCAGATAGAGAGCTTGACCAGAGGGGCAGAGGGTGTTGAGACGAAAGTCAGATAGAGAGCTGGAGCAGAGTGGTAGCGGGTGTTGAGAAGAACGTCAGACAGAGAGCTTAAGCATGGGGTAGCGGGTGTTGAGAAGAAAGTCAGACTGGGAGCTTCAGCATGGGGTAGCGGGTGTTGAGAAGAAAGTCAGATAGAGAGCTGGAGCAGAGGGGTAGGGGACGTTGAGAAGAAAGTCAGACAGAGAGCTTGAGCAGGGGGTAGGGGGTTTGAGAAGAATGTCACATTGAGAGCTTGAGCAGAGGGGTAGTGGGTGTTGAGGAGAAAGTCAAATAGAGAGATTGAGCAAGGGCTGGCCGGTGTTGAGAAATAACCAGATAGAGAGCTTGAGCATGGGGTAGCGGGTGTTGAGAAGAAAGTCAGATAGAGAGCTTGACCAGAGGTGTAGCGGGTTTTGAGAAGAAAGTCACGGAGAGAGCTGGAGCACAGGGGTAGGGGGTGTTGAGAAGAAAGTCAGATAAAGAGCTGGAGCAAAGGGGTAGTTGGTGTGGAGAAGAAAGTCAGATAGAGAGCTGGAGCAGAGGGGTAGGGTGTGTTGAGAAGAAAGTCAGATAGAGAGGTGGATCAGGGCGTAGCGGGTGTTGAAAAGAAATTCAGATAGAGAGCTGGAGCAGAGGGGTAGGGGGTTTTCAGAAGAAAGTCAAATAGAGAGATAGAGCAGGGGCTGGCCGGTGTTGAGAAGAAAGACAGATAGTGAGCTTGAGCAGAGGGTTAGGGGGTGTTGAGAATATGGTCTGATAGAGAGGTGGAGGAAAGGGGTAGTGGGTGTTGAGAAGAAAGTCAGATAGAGGCTGGAGCAGAGGGGCAGCGAGTGTTGAAAAGAAAGTCAGATAGAGAGGTGGAGCAGGGGGTAAGGGGTGTTGAGAAGAAAGTCACAGAGAGAGCTGGAGCAAAGGGGTAGCGGGTGTTCAGACAAAAGTCAGACAGAGAGCTGCAGCAGAGGGGTAACGGGTTTGAAAAGAAAGAAACATAGAGAGCTTGAGCAGAGGGATAGGGGGTAATGAGAAGAAAGCCAGATAGAGAGCTTGAGCATGGGGTAGCGGGTGTTGAGAAGAGAGTCAGATAGAGAGCTTGACCAGAGGGGCAGGGGGTGTTGAGACGAAAGTCAGATAGAGAGCTGGAGCAGAGGGGTAGTGGGTGTTGAGAAGAAAGCCAGATAGAGAGCTTTAGCATGGGGTAGCGGGTGTTGAGAAGAGAGTCAGATAGAGAGCTTGACCAGAGGGGCAGGGGGTGTTGAGACGAAAGTCAGATAGAGAGCTGGAGCAGAGTGGTAGCGGGTGTTGAGAAGAAAGTCAGATAGAGAGCTTGAGCAGAGGGGCAGGGTGTGTTGAGACGAAAGTCAGAGAGAGAGCTGGAGCAGATGGGTAGCGGGTGTTGAAAAGAAGGTTAGATAGAGAGCTGGAGCAGGGGGTAAAGGGTGTTGAGAAAAAAGTCAGATAAGGAGCTGGAGCAGAGGAGCAGGGGGTGTTGAGAAGATAGACAGATAGAGAGGTGGAGCTGGGGGTAGGGGGACAACTTGGAAGCAAGCGTGATATTGCCATGTTTTTCTTGAATCTTGTCAATCACATAAGTGTAGAAAAGGGAAGAGAATTCAAGGATGTAAAGGATTTCATTGGATTTGTGAAAAAGGAGAAGATCAGGTTTGTTAGTCTAGATAATTCTGAGGCTGTATACAGACTTAGTTCAAAGAATTTTGTATTTATCCTTTTCCATCACTCCCTCTACATATTCTGGGTCCATTCATGGACTTCTGTGTCAAGACGGTAAGAATCGAGCCACTCCATCATGTCGCTTATGATAGTGTGTTTGTGCCAAACAGTGTGGTCATCCACTAACAATGTGTTGGACATTCTCATTATATTCAATCTACATTTAATATTTACATTTTGATGAAAATGACACATCGACGGTTTCGAGTGAATGGTCCTGAGCAACAAACAGAAAGCCCATTTCACTCTTCAGGCCAGCCGACTTCATCCAAGCGAAGAACTCTGTAGGGTTGCTGATCTTCTCAACACACTGCACATAAACTCGATGAAGTCGTCATCCAGATAGCCTCTCCTTGAAAAATGGAATCTGGGCTGATTTGGTATCTGGCATTTCGTTTTGTTAAAATTCGTATCTGGACCCTCTAGCAGTACAGAACCATCGATTACACAACTTTTACAATGAGAGGTTCTCTTGTCCACAAAGTTGCTTAAGGCGTAAACGTTTGGGTTTGGGAGTTTATAATAGAATTAATGAGTTGCTCAAGTTGGTGTATTAAAATTAATATTTTATCTTCAGGAACGTTTGTTCTTACACAACCGTGGCGCACCAAGAGAAACGTGTTTGCCGGAGTCACTGTTGGTGGGGGTAAGTTTTTCATTCATTTTGGATCACACAATTGTCTTTTATGATCAGTATAAATGTATCCATTTCCTTGAACATCAATAACCCCGTTTTATAACTAAGAATTACCTATGCTCTTAGACACGGGACTTCTTTTACAGTATGTAATCTCGGCACAAAGACTTACATAAATGATCAAACAATTTCATCAACATCGTAACGTAACGTAACATACGCTTGAGGTGAGGTGAGGTAAAATGGGGTTTAAAGTCGCGGCCACGATTATTGCACTTATATAGCGACGTGCATGTACTCCGAGCCGCCCAGTCCTTGACGCCGGGCGCCAGACAGGGTGACAACAAATGCCATCTTTTAACATATTTTGGTATGACGCGGCCGGGGAATCGACCTCACGACCTCCCGCTCTCTGGACAGACGCTCTACCGCTGGACTACGGAGGCGGTCCTCATACGTTTGACAAAGTAGACAAAACTACAAAAGGTTTATGCATTACAAATTCTATTATTTTTATACAGTAATAGCGACGTATCGGTATAGACAGGCATAGCGCTGTCAAGCACGATTGACATTATTAATGAAATGAGGCTGTTCATAATTCACGGAAGTCAACGGGGCAAACTCCGTGCATGAACCCTGCCATTGCTTGATATTGAAGCTATGTGTTGAGCAAACGGCTGCAAGGCAATGATATAACATTGCTATGAAATATCGCTGTTCAGGAGATTAAATCTGAGATCTCATTAGTCAGAGCACTCGTTGGTTTCCTTCCAGTGGGAAGCAGGCCGTGTATTGTCTTGCTGATACCAGTCTGTCTTACAGACCCTGATACAAATATATATCAAATACACCCAATGCAAGTCTATAATGTTTGGCAAGTCTAGATTACTGTAGTATCAGGAGAGTCACTGGGCTCCCTTTTATATTAATTTGATTCAGATAACTGAACAACTGTTGTTGTTTTTCTGTACGATATGTTCATTTCAGAGACTAGCTGTTAGTCTATGCTGATACAAAAAGCGACTTTTGTTATCACTATATACAGTAAACTACGGTTATAACGAACTCAAAGGGACAACTAATTTTAGTTCGTTATAACCGTAGTTCGTTATACGTACATATACAGCATGACTACAGCAAGTAGTCGGGACCAAAAAGTAAGTTCGTTATATCCGTCAGTTCGTTATAAGCGTGTTCGTTATAACCGTAGTTTACTGTATTACGTACGCATGTACAGTAAGGTACGCTTATAACGTACACGGTAATACCGAACTGACGGATATTACGAACTGTTTTTTGGTCCCGTCCAATTGTTGTATATAGGCTTATATGTCCTTATAACGAACTACGGTTATAACGAATTACGGTTATAACGAACTAAAATTTCTGGCCCCTTTTACTGTATATGTTCTGTGAAAGTGGAATACATGTCCTCAGCGTTGCATATTTTGTGTGATGGTTTCTTTGAATTGAAAAATGTAACACGACCTTAATTATGTTTTTTAACAAGTTATTCTTCCCACTTGTTTTAGTTGTTGTGAATGGGGACACATTCTTGTACCACGCTACGATGTGGCAGAGAAATGCTGCCCCGGCTGGACCCATAATGGAGATGAGAACTGCCGCTTCGGTATGTCTGATACTTGTACTCGTTATGGATGTACTCAACGGCTCTGATACCATTTTCAGTCTTAGTCAAGAGAGTGTACCTAGTGTTTAGACTAGTGTTTAGACTAGTGTTTAGACACAATATATTTGATAATTTAGGTTATCATTTCAACTAGATTTATATACACTGTAAAAATGTGATCAGATCCTGAACACAAACCTAAGCTTGTTCTTTGTCTCACAACTTTGACTCATATTCAGTCTAAACATGTTTAGTGTTGTGTTTAATAGCTAAACGTGTTTGGGGTATAACTTTATTTGTTGGGGATATTTATTGTAGGTAATATCAAAAGAGGCGCTTTATTTATATTATGTTTAACTTTTAGCGTTTAATTGGGATATGGAAGTGAAGGGGAACTTGAAAAGTCTATCGTTGTAATCAGATATACTGTTGCTGTCGGCTTTCGTGTCCTGTATGATAGAAATACTATAACAGTCATGCAGCAACACCATATTTATGAACAAAACATTTTTACAACCTCAGCGGGAAACGAACTTGCAGATTCTAGACTGGTAGTGCTTCACCATGTCATGGGCCATCTCTGCTACGGAGATTGATGACGTCACATTTTCGGGCCACCATCATCTTAGCTTTGTTTATTTGCACATTATTATGTTAATATTGCAAGTTCTGGTGGTATATGTGTATCTTGTCCATAATTAAATTTCTCAACATGTTTAGATTGTCAGATTAATACACAGTGATATTATTTTGTCCAGTTATGTTTAATCATGTTTTAAATTCTAAACGTGTAAAATTGATTAAATTCTAAACATGTGTTGTGTTAAGGGGGTGTTTTGGCTGGGATACCATAGCTCATGTCATATGTTTAGACCAAAAACATGTTAAGATAGAACACACCAAATTTGACTTTAATGCTCAATTACATGCACTTTATTTAAACATGTTTAATTCTAAACATTTTAGATCATTGATATGCATTTCATCGTTAACATGTTTGAAGTGACTGTCTTAAAATTGCAGATGTTTAGATTATAGGTGGTGTTTAGGCTGTGGAACGATAGCTCATTTCAAATTGGGAGTTTAACCCAAGATGTTTGTTTGAACGACTTTGGCACCATTTGGTGTTTGGGGATAGCGGGGATCTTCTGAAAGAAATAATTTGTTCCATAAAAATCTTGAAAACAAAATTGTACTCCGGTTTTACCAAAAAATATAAATTGTTAGGCTCATCTTATGACATGTGTTATTAAGTCCAAATGACTTGCCTTTGCGTGTGTTTGTGAAGGATGCCATCGGTGGGGCAGGATAATATAAGCTCACCTTTTTGCGAACACCTGGTGTCTTCATCAATTCATTGTGATTCATTAACACATGCCCAAGATATAGTGGGAGTGGGAATCGTACGATTTTTATTGACTAATTTCAAGATATTTAACGCTTATGTTATTGACAGCGGAGTGCAATCCCCCGTGTGCTAATGGCGGTACATGCACGTCTCCTGGACGGTGCAGCTGCAGGGCGGGATATTCGGGCGACACCTGCAATGGGGGTAGGTTAAGGCCTAGAAATATAATGATTCTCGTCAGATGTTTATTTTCACTATTGCCATGTCACCAGCCTTTCTGACATTTTTAACAAATCAGATAGCAAACCCGTTGGCAAGCATTGTGGTTTAGTTGAAGCAAGGAAAGATAACTCTTCCGTTAGAAAGCGGACAAACTTGACATACATGTTCATGGAACCGGATTAACACTTGTTTTTATATATGTATCTCAGAGGTGACAGACATTCTTTAATCCCGATATTTATCATGACGATTCCATTTGGAAAACTGCAGATAAATGCGGTTAACTGAATACACATGTATTTGTATTTATTTGTAGCTAATTGCAACCACGAACGGCCATGCTACCCCGGGGGGTGCCAGGGCAACGGTGCTACTGTTGTGTGCAACTGTTTGCCTGACTTCGGGGGGGAATATTGTAAAGAACGTAAGTTTTAAATTATAATGGTTAACCATCCTCGAGTATGCAAGAAATATTCTACGATTATAAATACCCTGAACCAGCTACATTTCGGAAATGACATCAAAACTTGGAACAGAATTTCTTTCCCTCATTGGAGTTATTTAATTGGTTAGCGCTTTTTGGAGTCGTTCCGTTCGAATCGGTTTCAAAATTAAAGTATTGGGCGAATGGGTCTAGAGTATTTATCGTAGTAGAATGCAGTTATGAAATATAGTTTATGCCCTGGATAAGCAAGGATGTTGGATAACCAGAAATACCCTCATTCGTATTGGACGCCGTTGTAATGGTATGATATATTCTGTATCTAATATTTATAACATCAACTATACGACTAGATAATTTTCATACCTTGAATTTGCGGTTTTATGAACATTAAATCATTTACAGGATTGAAATGAACGTTTACATGGGCATCTCAAATGAATACATGCAATACTGACATTAATCGACATATGTGTGGCACTACACAAAGAGGCTAAAAATGTGGCATTCATTATTATTGCCAATAAAAAGTAGTTTTCATATCTCCCGTCTCAGCTGAAGCCTGCTTATCCATGCTTGACAACAGACATTGTATTAAAGATCCGGGCTGAATGTGCCCAGTTGTGGTTGTTGGTTTTCCTGGTGAAATTTAAAAAAATATTTTTATACTCGCCAATATGACAAACATCCGCCCTGTAGTTAGTTAAACTTCCTTGTAACTTGTGCTATATGTGATTTTGTTTTATAGTGGGCGCTATCCAGGCACCAGTGGTGACCCAGCTACAGGCAGAGTTTAACTTCAGACAAGGGGGACAACAGTATGGGGTTCTTGCTGATGCCACAGAGGTCGATAAACCAGTGGTCGTCTGGACCAACATGGACGAACTCAACGAGCTCTCTGTAAATGCCACTGCGATGTTCAAAGGAAAAGAACTTCCGTATCCCCCGGCTTACATCAAAACCGCAGAGACTGGAATTGGCAGAGCCTATGTGAAATGGAGTGAGTGGATTAGGTACTGCAAATCAACGGTCATAATTGGGCGGTATATAAATGATAGCGGTGATATATGACCACCCAACCTGTAGGGGAAAATACACTTAAGGGCAAAATTGTATACATTTAGAAATTGGATTTGACCAAAAACATACATACTTAATCAAAACGTTAAGGATTGAAAGCAGTCACCAACACATTGCAAAGGTAAGGTCCAAAACACAACTATGATCCCCGTATCAAATACATCACCAGCGAATAACAATTTCTTGTTTATTTCAATTTTAGCCGCAATAAAACATTCATGCATACTTTCATTTGTTCGCCAGTTAAGTAGAATTTGCCTTTCATTAGAATGTGTACAATATCATTCACGTCATATCTCGGAAAGGTACAATGTTAAATGCATACATCCCGACCCCCATTCCCATCCCCACCAAACAAATAGAGAAAATGTTAATAACTGTATCATTTTTAACTCCACATTTGTATTAAATAACGCTTAGTTATATTGGTCACATGATATTGGTTATCTCTTTTGTTTCGTTCAAAGAAAGCATTGTGTCTCTGGTAGGAGTGTAGTGAGTGAGTGAGTGAATACAGCCGAAGCTCGTTATATCGAACCTTGTCTTCTCGAATAGACCGACAGCTCGAACCTTTTCTCCGGTCCCGTCCGACTTGAATATAAATACATATACATTTATCAGTTTATGTCGAATTCGAGATGAAAATATACATAACGTTAACTCGAGCCTTGCATTTGGTCCCGTCTTTGACTTTACAATATGATTTTGCACTTTTATCTTGGAGTTGGCATTTGCCACATTAACAGTTTTTTCTAGTACATTTCCTCCCAAATACAACATCACAGTAAAGGTACAGTGCAATTTGAACCAATTATTCAACCAAATATGTACTTATTCTTTACTCCAATTGTAATGGTAATCTTTATTGACAAATAAAACATCGTGACTGGAGGCACTAGCAGAACACAATAATAGCATAGATATGTACAAATAAACCATGCCAGGTTTATGGTGACCATCCCCATAAGAATACCAAAGCGGCGTTCCGTAATTGTAGCAATTGCAACCTTCTTATGTGTCTTTCAGGTGGTCCCCGTGTGACGTCTGAAGATGAAGATTACAAATGTGTGGGGACTATTGACTCTGAGCACCCTCAAAAGATGGTTAGATGCGTCTTCAAGAGAGAGTACAGGAACCGTTTGAAAGATGGCGACAAGTAAGACCATGTTCAAAGATAACATACATTCATTGCGTTTTCTTTAGTGTCATCTATAGATGGGCCGTTCACAAAATGACAGTGTAGAGAAACCTCATTTCTTAGAATGAGTGAGTGGCTGAAGGAGTGAATGAAGGACTAAGTGAGTGAGTGATATTACGGTGTGTCAGCACTGCATGGTAGGAAATCCCGAGGTAATATTCAGGATGTAAATGTTTACTAACATTTGGTCATCTTAGTGAACTCCGCACTCAGTAATATGCCAGCTATATCAAAGCAGCCATACAATTCAGTGATTGATATTATGAACAACGATCAAACGATCCCGACGTAATGCAGGACGTAAATGTTTACTAGCATTTGGTCATCCCGAGGCACTACTAGCTATGCTTGTCGTAGGAGCCGACTAATGAGGATTGGGTTTCTACATTGTTAAGTGGTGTCACCGTACGTTTAAAGAGTGGAATGTTGTTCACGGATCCGTGAAGGTCCGGTTAGAGAATATATCATCAGCTACCCATGCATGCCGTAAAAGGCGATCGTTGTCATCGTTTCCCAATTGCGTAGATGGATGCTCATGATGTCAATCACTGGATTGACAGAATATTTACAGATCGCCGTCATCAAGTTCGAATATTGCTGAGTGTGGGCTTGGAGAACAAAGGAAACGTCGTTCATGCTGTCAATCATCGGTCTGCCTACTTCGAATAATGAAGTTACAGCAGTTAAAAACACAGTGAATTCACTTTGTAGTTGTTCCAGAAGTATGTATTTGTTTAGGTTTAAGTTGACCTTCCGTGTGACGAGCGGCGGGTACAGGGAGCTGTTTGACACAGGAAACAACCGGGTGACTGCCACGGAACACTACACCGGAACTGAAACGACCCGATCTGTTGCCTTTAACATTGATCTGACGAAACCTGCATTCACAGAAGCCGATGCGTCATTCCAAGTCCACCCTGAATTTACGAAGGTTAGATGCAAACGTCTTCTAATTTCTCATCGCCAATTGACCTCAAAATCGGCCCTTGTCTGTAAAGCTTTTTTCGGGACTTATTTAGATTCCGGTTCCGCGTTTTAGAGTTATTTTCCATTCCGAAGTTGCATTTTTTTATGTTACCCGTCTAGACTTTCAGCTGCAAGAATGCCTTTCCTTTCTACGCCTATCCGAATAGGCTGCTAAGATAATAAGTCTGAGAGGGCAGTTTTGGTACCTACGATTTATCAACGATGCGTACATAAACTGCGCTATAAATCTACAAGTAACCTAGTTAACTTTACAATGAAAACACAGTGCGTTTTTCTCCTTCCTCACATTAATGACAACGTAAATTTTCTATTTTTACTATTTAGTGTGTGAGTGAGTTAGGTTAAAAGACGTGATGAACAGCGATTCGGATATCTCAGAGAGTGTAAGCCCATTGATGTGGATGGAAACCTAACATGGTGAAGGTCTTAACTTTTTTTGGTAAAATTCAGGAGCACAGGTATGGTGGTGAAAACCAAGGATAATGGAAGTAAAGTAAAGAAGATATCCATTTCGCTCAAAGGGAATAACAGTACATAATATCATACATACAGTGAGTGAGTTGGGTTTAATGCCGTTTTCAACAGTATTCCAGTCATATCACGGCGTGTCAGCTTAATGTGGGAGGAAAGCCTGAAGTGATGCAGGTCTTAGACGTTTACCACTTCGGTGAAACCCACGAGCACGGGTATGGTGCTGACAAACCTAGAAACATAATTGGGGCGAACCGTGATTCGAACCCTCAATCATAGGTTTCTGACGAGCCCAAGGGACACAACTCTGCACAGCGAATCGCGGCGCCTTGGACGACTGGGCCACCCGTGCCCCCCATACATATAGATGGTCAGGCATGGATATAAGTAAGCCTGAATTCTAAGTTTTCCAGAACAGAAATTAGCGAACACTTCACATAAATGAAGGTCAACGTATGTATTTTTTACATTATACAGCAAGGTATTACAATGAAATGGGAAGGATGGACGGATGATGATTCTCAAATGGACAAGTACACATGGGAAGCCTTTAAACTTGAACCTAATGGCGATGGAGACTTGATGGAGGAAGACAAACTGAGACCCATCATCCACAGACAAATCAAACACACCTCCCCCATTTCCTACCCTCTTCCTTATGAACCCGATAAACCAGGTATGTATTCCTTCATTCTTCAAGCTGTGGACAAGGCCAACAACTCTGAATACATGAGACGGTTTGCGCTGTACGACAAAGAGTCAACGGTGACCACTGATCCGAACCATGCTATGAACATATCATATGTTGTACGAGACCAGGGCTTCCAGTGGATGACCGATACATCAAAGCCACTCGTGGTCAACTGGGAAAACCGGTTTTTGAACTATCACCACGAAAGCGGCAAATTTCTAAACAAAATCTTGCCCTTCAAAGTTCAAATTGTTGAAGACCCACCAATCTACAAGCAGGTCAGCAGCACCAACGATGATCATTATGGTGAAAGAACCGTAGACGCTATCCTCAATGTGCGGGGGATTGTGAAGTTCGAGTGGACACATGATGTCAATAAAACTGGAGGTCGACGCCAAGATACACCTCCAAATTGGTCTGATGTATCCGGTTTAAAAAGTACCATGCAGTTTCAACCAGGTACGTTTCTCTTTTATGTTCCTAATTAATGCTGGTGACTGTGGCCCAAGCCAACGTAATTGGCTGTTTAAACAACTTATAATTATTTCTTCAAACAAAACACCCGACCCTTCAAAGCGCAGTTAAACCCTACTCACTCCAATACTAAAAACATCCCAAGCAATCACTGATCAATTTACAAGATCAAGCTATTCATATTTATAAACTTTCATTTTACTTCATTGATTCATTTAGTGGTTGGACTTTTGTTACATTGGTTTTTTTTGGTTAACTCCACACTCAGTAAAATGCCAGCTATTTCACAGCAGACATACAATTCAGTGATTGATATAATGAACAACGATCAAACAAGTCACCGAGCCTGACCACCATATTCCTTATTTCGCCTCTTTCGGCCAGCATTGGTTACTGGGGGCCAATTCTATGCCAGAATATCCACGTGACCGTCCCGTTCATGGAAATGCAAGTAGAACACTTTGTAATAAATGTGATTTAATCATTCGTATGTGAATCTATACACATTTCTTTTGTACTCCAGAGGGAGTTACAAGTGGGAGCACTGTTACTGTGTGGATAAGAGCCAGGGACATCCTCGACAACAAGAAAGTGGACTCGACAAGTGTGACCTATGATTTTACGGAGCCACAGATCACTAGGATGGCTTTCCACGAAAACGAGATATCCAACATTCCCTTCAGTTCTGGGGTGAGAGAAAATGACGAATTGTACAACTGAGTATGCGGTCTTTTTTATATTTGAAGATGTAGTGTCACCCGCAGTCACTGTAGTTCTTGGTAGTGTTTTAACCCAATGAAACATGATTAAATATTTTATTGACGCTGAAATCTATTTTGAGTTACAAGAAATGCTTATTCGGGGGAAATTGTAATACAGCAACAGTTCCATAACGTCTTACGTATGAATTTTCAGCTTGGAGTTGAACATGCTGGACAAAGAGAGTGGCATTGGACGTGTAGAGGTCAAAGTCATACAGACAGGGAACGGGCACTTGATGTCCAGCAGGAACCTTACGGTACCGACTCTAACAGTGAGTATGAAAGAGTTGAAAGATATTCCAGACTATTTTCACAAGGGGCATAAACAAATGCCTTAGTTAAATAAGTTAAAAGAAAAAATAAAACTACTCTGCGTGTGTGTGTGTGTGTGTGCGTGTGTGTGCGCGTGTGCGTGTGGGGGGTGCGTGTGGGGGGGGGGGGAGGGGGGGGTGCGGGTGTGCGGGTGTGCGTGTGTGCGTGTGTGTGTGTGTGTGTGGAGTGGGGGGGGGGGGGGGGGGGGGGGGGTCTATGGTTTCGTCCGAAGATGAATATCGGGACGTTATTAGGATCTGTAGGGGAGATGACAGTCATCTTAAGGTACCCAGGCAAGTAGGGCTGTGGGGTAGCCTTGTGGTTAAAGCGTTGTCTCGCCATGCCGAAGACCCGAGTTCGATTCCCTCATAGAGACATACCTCATAGAGACATATTTCTGAAATTGAAACGTTGTTCTATAAAGATCAACCATGTTTGGAAACTCAACACTCTATGTTTCAGCCGTCTGCCTGCACAGACAGAGTGACTGACTGTTACTGCCCTAACGCCCTGAACGTGTGTTACAAGCGAGTATACAAACTTTACATCAGCAACTGTTGGCTGATGGTGGCCAAAGACGCATTGAAATCAGCCGAGGTTAAACTGGAGGTGGGTGTGGTCAACAGAGCTGGACTGAAGACACCCACACCGTTGGTCCACGTGGTGAGCAACACCTTATAATTAGATCATTACATAATTTGTCAGCACACTTTCCAGCTAGGTCACTGTGGCCTGTAAATATTTGTGATAAACCAGTGGTTGATATTATGAGCAATGTTGCACGCCGTTGAGGCTTGATGACACGCTATCAACCAAGTCAGAGAGTCGACCCGATCGAATAGGTCGCCTCTGACCACCATCACTACAATATCGTTTTATACAAAAGTACAGATTATATACAACAAACATATGTGGTCAGCCATTTGCCGAGAGTCAGCGTTCTGCTGACTGTATCGTTTTTTTAAAGAGAAGTTAATTAGTCTGCTATTACATGCTCTCTCCGTAATCAGTTCTATTTGACTCAGTTTGGGGCCAACAACATCAGTTTGTTAATTTGTCAGGAGACAGACTTATATATTTTTTAATTCCTGTTTTTAATGTTTCTAAAAATGTGAACACAGTCACAAAACCATAATTCTTTAATTTCTTTTAGATATTTGCTCCACTCTGTATCATTGATTATGGGGCACGAGTGCCACAGTCATATAAGGCGCCGCAATTGCTGCGTTGAGAAGCGTCCATGAGGGGTGCCAGAAACTTCTGTGACCCTGGTTCGAATCATAGATTCGCCCTGATAGTGATACGTGGTTTTGTGGGCATGAAACCCGTGAAGTTTACACCACGTAGAGCTTTCCTTCTTCGCGAAGCTGCGTTCAACCAAACTCTCTCCTCTCGATGGCCAGAAACACATTGAGTGAGTGAATCGAACCCCGGCCTGAGGCGTGACGGCTAAACCACGTGTCTACCCCCCCCCCCCCCCCCCCCCCCCCCCCGTGGCTTTGTGATACGTGTAATTACGATCTTGTACTGCTGACGTGTGCAGATAGGAAAGGATCCTTAAAAGATGTGATGAAACTTTTTCCTCTGTTTATTGTAAGTGTGATTGAGTTATGTTTAACGCCGCTTTTAACAGTATTCCAGTTATATCACGGCGTGTCAGCTTAATGTGGGAGGAAAGCCCGAAGTGATGCAGGTCTAAGACGTTTACCACTTTGGTGAAACCCACGAGCACGGGTATGGTGCCGACAAACCTAGAAACATAATTGGGGCGAACCGGGATTCGAAACCACAATCATAGGTTTCTTGCGTGCCCAAGGGACGCGACTCTGCACAGCGAATCGCGGCGCCTTAGACGACTGGGCCACCCGTGTCCCCCTGTTTATTGTAGGTAAAAGATCTCATGAAGCTGAAGGGAACCGAGGCATGTGAGTATACTGTGTGTATAAAAATGTAAAATTTACGAAATTTTGTGTGTGTGCGTGCGTGCGTGCGTGCGTGCGTGCGTGCGTGTGTGTGTCACTCAGGTGGCCTTTGAAGACAATGCTGTCTAGGCCAGACTAATAATAATGACAATCATACAAGGTCAATAGATCAGTTTGCTTGAATGTCATTCACAGCTCCCCGGGGAGTATACATCCAAAGCTGCCCGTCAGGCGCTTGAAGGTTAACAGTCACTTGACTAATTTCATCCAACGAGACACCTTGCATGCTATGGCGACAAGCAGGAGATATCCTCTACTTATCATTGATTATAAACGTTCAGATTTTGGACTTGAGAACGTAACGACAACCAAGATAACGACGTCGAGTGCCCGTGTTTCATGGAAGCATGCCCCAAGCTGCCATGAGCGGACGGTAATCCTTGTGAGCTTCGAGTCCGAATCAGGACATAAGGAGACGCTGAAAGTTTTCCAGAGCGCAACACATTATGTCCTCCACGGCCTTCAACCTGGTACATCATACAAGGTCAAGGTCACTGCAAAATACGGGGACATGCTCAGTATACCCAAGCAGGTATCCATCACTACCAGTAAGTAGTTTGATTGTATTAGTTTTTTTGCAGCGTGGAACACTTAAATACTGTGTTTTGTTGCCTTGCAGCGTGGAATACTTAAATACAGTGTTGTGTTCCTTTGCAGCGTGGAACACTTAAATACAATGTTTTGTTTCTTTGCAGCGTGGAACACTTAAATACAGTGTTTTGGTGTTTTGCAGCTTGGAATACTTAAATACAGTGTTTTGTTTCTTTGCAGTGTGGAACACTTAAATACAATGTTTTGTTTCTTTGCAGCGTGGAACACTTAAATACAGTGTTATGTTTCTTTGCAGTGTCGAACACTTAAATACAGTGTTTTGTTCCTTTGCAGCGTGGAATACTTAAATACAGTGTTTTGTTTCATTGCAGTGTGGAACACTTAAATACAATGTTTTGTTTCTTTGCAGCGTGGAACACTTAAATACAGTGTTTTGTTTCTTTGCAGTGTCGAACACTTAAATACAGTGTTTTGTTCCTTTGCAGCGTGGAACACTTAAATACAGTGTTTTGTTTCTTTGCAGCGTGGAACACTTAAATACAGTGTTTGTTGTTTATACCGCATCAGTCCGGACTAGTACAAGCAGCCACACAAACACACACACGTACATGTACGTCGCTATATAAGTGCAATAATCTTGGACGCGACGTTAAACCAAATTTCACCTCACCTCACCTCTTAAATACAGTGAAACTCCTTTATCGTTGCAATTAAAGCGTTCGGATTACGTGAGTGAGTAACCATACAAAGCGGGGATCCATACAAATAAGATAAATGACAATCATGTCATAAGTGCCTGATCACTTGATTGATACAATCGTCATGAAGGAGGCTATTACACCCACCTGTCTTTGCTATAATAATACTTTATTTTTTTCTTAAACCCAGTGAACGATCCTGGTATCGGAACAGGAGCAATCGCAGGAATTAGTACAGGTGAGGGTTTTTTTGCATGGTCTGCTTGACGCTTGTGACACGTATTTTTGATACGTCAATTTTGGACACGCTCGACTGCCTCTCACCGCTGAGGCACCCAGCATTCATAGTACGAATCGACTGATACGCACCAGAAGGTCACAATGGCTTACGTGGCATATTCTATGTCTGGATAATTGCGATCTTGTATGTTTTTGTAAACAAAATAATTTGTTCGAGATGTTTATGGGGAAAAAATATCCACACAAATATCCTCTTGTCTTTAAAAACATATAAGCCGCCTGATTTGAGGGGTCACTTTTTTTCAATTTATTCCTTTCATTGGCATATCTGTTTACTGTGTGTCTTGTAATTGTAATTGTCTTGAGACACTCGTGGTCATACACACACTGACTATGATTGTTTTCGACAGGGCTGGGGGTTGTAGTCGTCGTGGCCGTGGTCGTTGTTCTGCGGAGGACTGGAGGACATCGTTTTCTGAGTAGTCGACGACAACCAGTCGAAACAGCGAGGATTGCCAATAATCTTGATCCGACCAGACCGAGGATGGCATCCTTTAAGGTAGTCCTTGAGGGCAGGTTATGTAGGTGACACAAACAAACTTTGATTATGTTTCTGTGTTTGTCACCACGATACCCGTAGTCGTTGGTTTTAACAAAGTAGTTAACATTTAATACTTCGAACTTCCTCCCACAAACAGCCTCAATGGCCTTGTGGTAGAGCGTTGACCCCCGGACGCGTCATACCAAAAGACGTTAAAAGATGGAACTTGTTGTTACCCTGTCTGGCGCTCGGCATTAAGGGGCTAAAACAAGCTTAGGGCTGGTCGGCTCGGAGTCACTATGTACTGTGTCTGAGTAGGGTATTCATGATAAACTGCGGCATGGTACCTCAGTGAACTAGCACTATAAATCGGTATCAGTCCTGACCAGTACAAACACACACACACACACACACACACACACACACACACACACACGTGCATTCACGTCGCTATATAAGTGCAATAATCTTGGACGCGACGTTAAACCCAATACACTTCACCTCACCTCACCTCACCTCACCTCACCTCACCTCACCTCACCTCACCTCACCTCATCACACCTCACTTCCTCCCAGAGCAACCTGACACACTGTGTTATAACAGGAAGACTGTTTAACGTACTGCATTCGTTTTAGAACAAGTCTTACGCCGAGGACGATGACATCTACCACTACGCCAGCATGCCGTTTTCGACATTGCAGGCAAAGGAGATCGCTAGTGATAAGCTGACGCTTAAGAAGGAAATACAGGGTGGCAGGTTCGCTCGTATTTACAAGGCTTCTCTGATAAGTGGTAAAACACAGCAAGAGGTGGTCGCTAAAGTTCTTAAAGGTAAGATATGCTTGTCCTAAGAGTCGATTCAGTAGGGATCTGGTGTCAGGATCGTGACTTGTATGATAAGTTTTAAAGTTAAACAATTAAAACGTTATTTAAGATAAATGTTGATGTTATGATCAATGATGTAGCCTCATGTTATTGTTATTTACAGATGATCAATGAAGGACAATACCGTAAAGCTGTTATATTTACAGATATATATAGAAAGAATTTATAGAATTCCAAAGGATGATGCCGAAGGAAAACGAAAATGTGAATATGAAAACAATATGCGTAAATATGAGGCAATGATCGCAAACTTGCGACATATCGCAACACCGATTTGGCTTTCAGGGAGTATTGCATAAGCCACGTCGTAATTGCGGGAAGTTGCAAATGTGTCGTATTGTTGCGACATATACGGGGACTCAAAGTTAACGGCCTTCTTTTCATTCGGTTATTAAACGCACCTGCAATCGAAATAATGTGTAAACATGCGATAATACGATAACACAACACGTTCAACTCATGTCAAAGAAGAGATTGTCTAACTGCTACACAGTGAAATGATTCAGTTTACGACACGTGAAGATCCGGGGTAGAATAGGTCTACAGCAACCTATGCTTGCCGTAAAAGGTGACTATGCTTGTCGTAAGAGGCGACTAACAGGATCGGGTGGTCAGACTCGCTGACTTGGTTGATGCATGTCATCGTATCCTAAATGCCTGGATCGATGCTCATGATGTCAATCGCTGGATTGTGAGGTCCAGAATCGATTATTTACAGACCGCCGTCATATAGCTGGAATAGTGCTGAGTGCGGCGTTAAACAACAAACAAAACTAAAATTATTGTTCACGATTTTATTTCTGACTGCAGCTTGACATAAATATGCTACCCCGGGCTAATGAACAAACATGAGGAAAAGTAAAAGCATTTGGACGCTATGAATATATATGTTCGTATCGACATTTTAGTGGATATATTTTGAGTACTAAAATTAAAACATATCTTCAAGAGAGTTCGCGATTAGAAAATGGTCGATACCTACAGTAGCTCACACAAAAGAAATGAAATTAGAATATCCTGTACGCATGATTTTATTGTGATATCCTTTAAGTTTAATGTATCTCCTGCAGACTGTCACTGTATGGGATCTCACATCTAGCAACAGGGCAATACCAGGATAAGAAATACGTGCATTATATCGATATGGCCTAATGCCAGAAACAGATAGATTGCATCAAACAAAAGGACAAACATCCTTTAGTCGGATGTAAGAAGGAAATCCTCAACAGATAACAATAAAACGCATGCATGTATCCATCCATCTACCCATCCATGATTACATACAATGCATACAATGTTTCGGCGGTGTTTGTCGGGCTCCGTTGTTCGTGTTTTGAAAGCGCAAGTCGAAAACAACACTCGTTTTTGTGGTCAGAAATGATACAGTTAACCTATATTGAATCGTTTTAAGCTCACTGGGTCCGAAGGAATAAGATGAGCTTATGCCATACCGTGGCGTCCGTCTGTCGTCCGTATGTCAACATTTTTTTTTTAGAATGGCCTCTTCTTCTGAACCAATAATTGGAAATTAACGAAATTTGACTGTAATCATCGCTAGGTGGTGAGGATTCAAAATTCTACAAATGGTTGGGCTGACCCCCAAGGGCCCAAATAGGGATAATTGAGCTATATTGCTTTAAACGACTTCTTCTCTGGAACTGCGAGATAGATATCAACCATCTATGGTTGGAACTATTCTCTGGTGGTGAGAATTCAAAATAGTACAAATAGAAGGGCTGATCACCCCAACAAGGGGCTGAGGGGCGGGGCGAAGTAGGGGTAATTTGGCGTTATTGCTTTAAACGACTTCTTCTCTGGAACGAAGAGATAGATATCAATCATATTTGGTTGTAAACATTCTCCAATGGTGGGGATTCAAATTGGAGAAATGGGGGGGGCTAGTATTATATACATGTACAATGCTAATGCATATTTTGTCATGATTGCGTAAATATCCAGGTGAGCGATACAGGACCTAATGGCTTCTTGTTTTCAACATGCCGTCTTTTGGCCACCATTGTTCCTGTCGTAAGCTCCTCAAACAGGTCCGACAGTGTCTTAATTTTTGCTGTAAATTTAAGATTATTTAGCGCTAACACACTTTCAAGAAAAAGACTTAGCTGAGACCTTTCTCGCTACGACGCCTGACGCCAATCTTAGCGATAAAACGGCTTCGTATATAGGCCGCTAGTGATATAGATTCTTTGTTGGTACTACTTGACTGAGGACATATATTTTCATTGTCATTTATCATGCCGGGATAAATATGTTTTGTTGGTACTACTTGACTGAGTACATATATTTCCATAGTCATGTATAATCTATGATATGATACCTACAACTACACTGTCGCCAAGACCACTGAATTTGACAAAGAACGTACATACCTTTGACTTTTCTTTTTCATCAAACCTTATAACAGCACACATAGGCAATAGCTTCATAAATAATATCATGTATGTTCTCAGACACCCATGATGAAGACAGTGCCTTACTGATGATGGCCAAGATCAACTTTGCTGCCACAAAGGTCGGGGAACATCGCAACGTGCTGAATTTCATTGGCGCAGTTGTCAGCAACGATGCTTGTGAGTTCAACTATATTGTACCGCCATAACTTTTTCAGCAAAACTGTATGGTTCTACAGTAAACATGTACATTTCGTCTTATCGACAATTAAATCAAGCCTGAAATGATCAATACAGAGTGAGTGAGTTGGGTTTTACGCCAGTTTTAGTAATATTTCAGTAATATCACGTCGGGGAACACCAGAAATGGATTTAACAAATTGTGCCTTAAGTGTGAAATCTAATCAGGCCGTTGGCGACACGAGCTACAGATTTAACGACAAGACTTTCAGACCACCACATACGTATAGACCATCACATATAATCAGATGAGAAAAGACATGATTCAATTTACGGTGTTTTTAAGGGTGATATCAGGCAAAACGTGTAAGGAGGCTAAGATTAAATTGGCATTCACAGTGGTTGCACTCTTTGCGGTTTAAAACAACACTGAGTGACGCCATAACGTTTTCCTGTTGAATTTGTGATGGTGCTTGAGTAAAAGCTGCATTTGTGTCATTGCACCTGTACGGCGCGAATCGCTTGTCATCTCCGATCTACTGGGCCTACATTTGATTTTTTAACGGATCTCCGTGATGTGGCTGTAATGGTGCTGTTTTGCGGTGTAAAACAGGACTCTATCACTCCCTCAATTTTTGTTCCAGTGGGACCGGTCATGGTGCTGGAGTATTGTCAAAACGGACAGTTGGACAAATGGTTAAACGCCATACGGACGGCTGTGAGCACGGATGTCTTGGATACAATCCAAAGAATTACTTTGGGAATATCTAGAGGAATGGAATACCTTTCAAAGAGACAGGTTTGGTTTTTTTTAATTCTATTTTACGCTTTTAAAAGAATTAATCATTTATTGATGTCTGTGTTGGCTACTTTTATCTCGGAAACCAAACCTACTTATATTATCCAAAATACACTGCGAATGCATGCTCACCATTAGATAATGATAATGGTGGCACTTATTGACCACAAAACTGATAAAGACTTGAATTTCACCGAAGTCTATTTTGTATTGTATATTGGGATTAGGAAAAATGCGTGGTACTTTTCTTTTGAACTGTAAAAAGCATACCTTATAACACCCAAACGTTCTGTATCCCCATAGCAGTGTCCCCAACTTCTTTGCCTTCGTGTCAAAGCGATTTCGGGAACATTGTTCCAAGTCAATAGTGCAGAATTCAATAGGACCGACCTGTGCCATTTTTATTTGAGGTTTCAATATTAATTTGACAAATACAGAAAAACTTCATACTTTTATATATGTATTGTAGATTGTTCATCGGAAGCTCGCTGCCAGGAACTGTCTGTTAACTCCCGAAAACGATGTCAAGATTTCCGGATTCGGACCATCCAGCCCTGAAGAAGCAGCCGAGGACAATTCCAAAGGGAAAGAGAGCAGATCACAGGTTTGATGTCAAATACAAATCTTACGTTTTGTGACGCCAACACACACACGCGCGTGTTCCTTGAGGAGCCATCTAGTGTGGTGAGACGACCCCTCCTTACTCGTTTTATTAATTTATTAAGTTATGTTTTGATTTCTCGGAGAGTGGTTACAGGGAGGTTCGATTCCCAGACACGCCTTACAAAAAGACGTTAAAAGTTGGGACTTATTGTTACCCTGTCTTGCGCTCGGCATTAAGGGCCGAAAACAAGGACTGGTCAACTCGGAGTCAGCATACTGTGTCTGAGTGGGGTAATCATGTTAAACTGCGGCCTTGTATCTCAGTGCGCTGGCACATTCGTGACCAACTCGTGTTTTTTCCGGGACAAGCCGAATAGCGACTCATGCCCCTCTCATGGCCATTTTTGCGACCGGGTTCCGTCTTAGCGCAAACGGCCGCCTCCGTGGTCTTGTGGTAGAGCGTCCGCCCGGAGAGCGGAAGGTCCGGTGTTCGATCCCCGGCCGCGTCATACCAAAAGACGTTAAAAGATGGTACTTGTTGTTACCCTGTCTGGCGCTCGACATTAAGGGGCTAAAACAAGGACTGGTCGGCTCGGAGTCAGTATACTGTGTCTGAGTGGGGTATTCATGTTAAACTGCGGCATGGTATCTCAGTGAGCTAGCACTATAAATCGGCATCAGTCCGGACTAGTACAAGCAGCCACACACACACATACACGTGCATGCACGTCGCTATATAAGTGCAATAATCTTGGACGCGACGTAAAACCCAATTTCACCTCACCTCACCTTAGCGCAAACGGGCAGACCTGAAACAATTGTCAACTCGTTGTGTAATGGTTCACATATATTTCCCCATGTATTATATATATTTCAGATGCAATTTAAAGCACAGCTGGACATGCGGAATTATACAGTATGATTGGACACATTTAACTGTGTCTTGGGTATATTTTTAGATGCAAGACATATGTAAAATCAAATATTATTTCTGAGGGATTCTTTGACGAAGAACTTGAAATCATACGCGCATTCTGATTGGTTTGTCGTATTTTCGCACATAACATTCATCGAAAGGGGGACGAGTCTTCTTGCAGGTTACGGAAAGGGGCGAGTTGTGCCGAATGTGCGCTGGCACTGTAAAACCGGACCACAACAGTTTGTTCTGACTACCACAAGCTGCCACACACAAACACATGCATGCACGTCTCTAAGTCGCACGTCGCTACATAAATAACTCGAGGTTCAATTCCACTTATCTTTTGATTTCTTGGCTTTATGGGGACCCCTTTGGGAATCGATGGTGGAACCCGCAATAGCCCGAGCAGAATCGGTTGTGTCGTTTAGGACTGACACGTAGCTAATTGCGTCTGATGGTACCCGATTGGCATGGGTCGTTGCTCATGCTTTCAGTCATCGGTTTGCCTAGTCTGGATCCTATGATGACCAGTCTGCGTGCGTGTTGCTGACTCTGGCGTTAAGCACACATATTCCGTCGCACTCACATGGACTTTTGTTGTGTATGGTGTTAAACGTTTACACCTATTTTGTGTGGTTAAATGGTTATGATTACGCTTGGAACAAACTCATCTCCTGCTCGTTTCATTACATGTCAGCTGTGGATGTTTTTCAGGATCGAATCCCAATAAAGTGGACGGCTCCAGAGTGTCTTCAGTCTCTGAAGGGAGCCAATGAGAAGAGTGACATCTGGTCCTTTGGGATCACAATGTGGGAGATCTTCAGTCTGGGTAAGTATCCTTCATGCTGAAAAATTGAAATGTTACCGAAACTATGTAAATGGTACATAGTATGTCGTTAAAATGCTAACAACCCCATATGACAAAGGTCCAATTACAAGGATACCAAAGACATGAACTCGCTGGCAAAATGTTGTTTTATTTGCACTTAGCACTTTTCGAAAAAATGTTTCATACTTTCTAATCATTGAATGAGTCAAATGCAGTTGGATCAGAAAGGCCTAATATTTCTTTTCAGGTCAAACTCCCTACCCTGACATGCGGAGCAGAGATCTACCAATCAAACTCAAGAATGGGTACAGACTCCCCAATCCAGAGTATGCTGAGGAAATGTGAGCAAATTGGCATTTAAGGTCCAATCATGTACTTTCATCGGCCCCTTTTAGGGCAGCCAACATGCCCCTTTCCGATTCACATGCGTACAATGTGTGAAGGCCATTCTTGATTTCAATCGCGGGAGTATTGCTGGAATATTGCTTACAGCGGCATTTAACCCACTCTACCCAAAATAAATTCATCCTCACCAAAATCGTTTCAAGTGGCGATTATGAGAAACTTTCTTTTTACTTTACCTGACCCAACCTTCATTCATTCATTCATTCATGTTTCAGACATCAGGACATCATGCAAGGCTGCTGGAAGCAGAACCCTAAAGAGAGGCCTACTTTCGCGATTGTAGTGGAAAAACTGGAGACGTCGTTCGGTTATAGACCTGGGGAGTCTGGGGAGGTTTACTACACAGCTACCTAATGCATGCAGATGTTATACATCTGACACCTTCTGAAAAGAATAGGTCGCAAATTTACTTAGCTTATTTTATATGTCTTTTTATATTTCTTTAACTATTAGACGCATTTTTTATACAGCGTGTGCATTTTTCAGAGACGTGTACTTAGGGGTGAGGGGGCAGCCAAGCGCTTAAAGAGTTCGTTACAACTTAAAACTTTCCCAGTACAACATGGGTACAACGCTTGAAGCCCTTTTTGCATTCATTGTAATAATGCTGGAATGTTGCTTTGTCAATACTCACTTGTTGTCGCGGACGGCCACAAATTATGTGAAGGGGACCTTCAGGAAAGACGAACACTCACCTCTGGACCAGTTGATTGTATGTTCGCCCTTTCCTCACACGGCTATTATCAGACATTGTTCCATGACACCGGTGACCAATAAACGCCGATTAATAATTACTTCCTTTGAAGATGTCGCTTCCTGGACGGCCATTTAAATCTGTATCGAGTCAAGACAAAAAATTGTGTTTTGAATTTAGATGTCATGCCTTAATACGTAGGCCATTAATTGAGTTCTCTTTCTGTTTGTAAGTGGAAACGGTGTGTAGCTCACCTATAGGCTAGACCTTATATCGAGAAAAGAACACAAATGATTTGGACCAAAATAAATTTACAGACGATGATATGTAACAAAACGTCAAGTTTGATTTGCACAGGTGACAAATCATGGGGGGATAATTTCGCCAGCGGCGGAGAGTAACTGGATGGGTAACCGCGCTCGGAACGTTTGACTTTTGATTCTCTTTCTTCGGTCCTGCTCCACGGCTTATTACACCTGGTATATCCTTAGTTCAGTTCAAACGTTCTATGTGGGATGAAAATCTAAATTGCTCATTGAGTTTTATGATGGGGTGGGATGGTTAAATGGACTGCTGGGTTTCCATCCGAGACAATAAACCTTTTACTGTTTTTACAAGTCAATAAATAATAGCTCTAGTCGTCATATTTTCACTCTGACAGTGGCCGACATCGTCACTAGAAAAGAAATGAGTTTAGTGAAAAAGCAGTTAGCTTGATTTACTTGAAGGCTCTACATCACCTTCAGCTTTAAGATTCACTGAGAGTCAGGGTTCGCTTGACAAAAAATCTTTTGGTGGATGTGAACAGTTTAAAAAACAACTACCTATCTTCCGGTATGTTTCTACCTGAAATATCTTCATTCTTCATTAAACTTTTGAACTGTTCCTTCAGCAGCAGTAAAAAGGTTCCCGGTAGATTCAGATGGACATGTGAATGCAAAACCGACAGCTTTGTTTGCATACTCCCCTAGCTGAAAATGAAAACTAAATGTAAACCGAACCGTTGACCTGTCACCCTAAAAACAGACTTTGTGGAACAAAGGATAAACAAATGTACATGTTATCATACTCAATCAATTCGGTAGATTACGGTTAACACATTTAACAATCGGGACCGGCCTGTTAATATTCTTGAAACAGGAGCTGGACTTTTTAAGGCAGGACAGACATTATTTTTTAACCCAAAACCTATTAATTTCATAACCTCGAGCATGTCCAGTCAGCAAATATTTATTTTTATGACAAATACGTTTTCAGTATTTTGGGTAACAGGCACACCCATGCAACTCCTATCTCCGGAATATAAAAAGGCCGGTCCTAAACAAATATATAATTTATATGTCTAAGCTGTTTTCGTGCTTTGTTCGTACAATGTTTTTTGACATTATCTTATTGTCCTGTTTTACATATCTATTCTATTTTGTTCTTATATTTTATGGTCATATTATTCCCATACTCCAATATTGTATACACAAATGAAAACCTTAAAAGTATTTCCACAGGCACAATATTCAAAACTCATTAATGTTGATGTGCGCTGTTTTGTAATTGTAACCCGGACGCCAACGCTTTTTAAAAAAATATTTAACTGAATTTTAATTCTGCCAAACACAAGTCACGATGAAACATTGTTAATATCCGTTGTCAGTTGTTTGTTGTGTACAATATATATCTTAATTATTATATATCTTAGCTGTCAATAAATTTATATAAATGCAGCAACTGTTACGTGTGTCTGTGAGTATATGTGTATGTCTAGTTCTGAGGATGCCGCACTCAGCATGGTTCAGCTATATGACGGCGGTCTGTAACATAATCGAGTCTGGGCCAGACAATCCAGTGATTGATATCATGAGCATCGATCCACGTAATTGGGATACGATGACATGCATCAACCAAGTCAGCGAGTCTGACCACCTGATCCCGTTAGTCGCCTCTTACGACAACCATAGTCCCCTTTTACGGCAAGCATGCGTTGCTAAACACCTAGTGGGTGTATGCTGCATTTCATACACAAATGTTTTGGTCATGGATCTATTATCGAGTCGGGGATCTTACACTTCAACACTGACCTGTTGCAGTTCATAAACTACCACAGTTGTTTGGCAACCTAATGATTTCATTCTATAAGTTCTCAGTCTACATGTTTGTTCAAATTCCTTTTTTATATTATTACAGAATCTTTGGGCTGTTAATTTGACATTATCATTTTGGTTTTGGTTTCAATATCTGTGACATTGTAAAGCGTCCCAGATTTCAATTTTATCTCAGGAAATAAATTTTGATAACATAAAAATAGACAAAAGTAGGACTAAGGGGTATTATTATATACGTAAATCATGTTGGTAAACCTCTTTAAACCTTTAATATAGTTAGCCTTTTCACACATAAAACATGCGCATGAATACATCGATAACCTACATATCGATTAAAAATGGCTGTCGATCGATCGCCAACAGGGACTGTAAACCGTATCGATATTTCCTCTAATATACGCTTGGTCTCTAATAAAAGCCAGGTCTCTAATACATGCCAAATGGTTCTCGCGAAATTAATAGACAGCCTAGCGACTAATAGAGGAAATACGGTAGTTTGATATGGGATGTTGTTAGCGACGAAATGTTGTTCTAGGCCGTAGGCTAATCCTGACTGCTCCGGTGCTGAGATAACAAGACTTTACGAAAGCATATCTTTTGCATACAAATGAAATGTTCATGAAACTGTGTGGGACATGTTCGAAGCGAACAGACTCAGAATAGTAAATTTCGATTGTCATTGAAACAACCGACAATGATAGTAATATATAGCATTATAAAAATGTGTTTGAAGAAACCTTATTCATGACAACATGTTTTTTACAAGCCTTTTTATGTCCGAAACTCATTGCCATCTCCGTCAACCACTACCGTAAGGATTTGGCAGGAGGGGATTTGAAAATCCACCAGAAAACACTCGTCCTTCCGAAAGGCCACGAAGCTATGTCCCGACATCACTGAACTTACACCTTATCAAACTTGTTGAAATTCATTTCAGAACACGTACAATGAAGAAAACCATACGCAAACCACTATTTCTGGGCCACAACTGTCTCATTGCTTTCACACGCTGGGTTAGAATCCGTGAAATCTTGAAATTGACAGGTCAAATCATTCAGATTCCTCGTGTTAAAAAATCCGGCTCGTCTTCAGCCTAAAAAGCGGCTGTTCAGTCATACTCAGTTTAATTGGTAATCATATTGTACCAGCAAGCTCACTCCCAGTAAATCTACAGGTTAATGTTGAACCACATCATAGATCAGGGTTGTCATCTTTCTTTGTGTAGCTCCGTGGTCCAGTGTTAGAGCGTCCGCCCGGAGAACGGAAGGTCCGGGGTTCGATCCCCGACCGCGTCATACCAAAAGACGTTAATTATAAAGATGGTACTTGTTGTTACCCTGTCTGGCGCTCGGCATTAAGGGGCTTAAACAAGGACTGGTCGGCTCGGAGTCAGTATACTGTGTCTGAGTGGGGTATTCATGTAAAACTGCGGCATGGTTTCTCAGTGAGCTAGCACTATAAATCGGCATCAGTCCGGACTAGTACAAGCAGCCACACACACGTACATGCACGTCGCTATATAAGTACAATTACCTTGGACGCGACGCTAAACCCAATTTCACCTCACCTCACCTTCTTTGTGTAGGTTTTTATGTAAACATTTGCATCCAAAGGGAGGTAATCGATGTTACCGTACAACCGCCATCAGTCGATTCATACGATAATCAGTAATAATTACTACAACAGTGATGTTCATAAAATATGCTTCTGGGTAAAATAATTTAAATGCCCTGAATATTAATTCTTTTAGACCGAGACAATTACGTTTACAATTGAACCTCGTTTGTCCGAATCCTGTTAATCAGCAACCCCCGGACAATTCTGCTTGAAACATCTTCATAATTAAATACAAAGGACAATGATTCATTATTCCGAGTATTTGTGTATCCGGACGTTTTCTTAGGAAACGATACCGTCCGTATTAACGGGGTGTCACTGTATAGATTGGATTGCATTGATGTGATGTGATCGTGGCCCTGCAGACGGAGTAACTGAAACGGACATAAAATATCCACACAAAAAACACCCAAAGTTATATTGAACAAATATAACCCTCTTCAAAGCGATGATAATATTAAAATGTTATTCTGGGAGTCGGCGTTTTCTATATAAATCTGTACGTTATACCAATATCTTGGTTGGTTAATTGGTTTGTTGTTTAACGCCGCACTCAGCAATAGTCCAGCTATATGACGACGGTCTGTAAATAATCGAGTCTGGACCAGACAATCCAGTGATTAATATCATGAGCATCGGTCCACGCAATTGGGATCGAAGACATGCATCAACCAATTCAGCAAGCCTGGCCACCCGATCCCTTTAGTTTGCTTTTACGACAAGCCTAGTCGCCTTTTACGGCAAGCATGGGTTGCTGATCCCGGATCTTCACGGGTCGTACCAATATCTATCTATCCCGGATCTTCACGGGTCGTACCAATATCTAACTAACTTCAGCTAACACTATCGCCACATCAGCAACCAGCATCAAACACAACACATTTACAGACTGAAAGGACGAGATCAGCCTACCACGATCGGACACATCCAATATACATCCAATACACATCCCATACATATCCAATACACATCATCATGATTGAGTGAGGTGGATATCGCAACGTGGTATCATTATTTCAGCAAAATCCCAGCGAGAGACACCAGACACCAGTATGCTTCGCACACTGCAAGCATGCGGTATGCCAGATCTGGGCTTTGCACATTGTACACATGTAGAATCGAACCCGACCCTTGAACGAGATAAGCCACTAGGCCACACCATCGCCCCTCATGGACACATGAATTCAAATGTGAATTATAAAGGAAAGACAATGATGTAAATATAAGTTTGTATTTTCCGAACTGATAAATCGTAAACTATGTCATATCAAGTTCTCTGCATATTTGGCAATATACATTTAGTTTTGAGCCCGATTCGAACGATACAACAGGCAATCTGCGAAAGAAGTGGTGCAATTAAAAGTTTCCCCTTGACCAGTAAATTACTAGTTGGCAATCCCCCGCCCCTAATAGTAGACACATCAAAGCATTGATTTATAATTAATATTATTTGTGTGGCAAGTTAAGTTTTGTTGTGAATTAAGCTGTTTCTAACCGACATGTAAATTACGTATCTCGCTTTGCACATTCTAAGCGTTTGTCGTTGCCTTCTTACTAAAATTGAATGTGAGTTTAGCAGACGGCCCTAACTTGTATCACGACAACTAATTCATTTTCGCTCTTCAGTCCTTCATCTATCTCACCATATTATAATTTTTTAATTTGAAGTTTACACGATATACGGCTTTTCCATTGGACGAGAGGTCGGTCACATGACCGCGAAATTGACGTTCATAAGTGTATGAACGACACAATTTGACGTTCATACGTTTTTTACGAGACCGTGTTCTTGAAATGACGTAATCACTGACGGATACTTCCAAATTTCTGGGGAAACCCCTGGGAATTCTCTAGCACGAAAACATACATAAGCGTTCTTTCCGATCATTTTGAACCTTTACCGCCACAGGTTCATTAACAACTTCGGAAATCTCTCCCGTCACGTTTATCGTGTCGGCCATTTTGACGTCTAGTACTTGAAGTAAATGTATTACGACGCACTGTCATTGTGACTGACTTACTGAGGTAGTTCTTTACAGAACTTTTTCATCTAATGGGGATATGATTTGAACACGTGCTGCGTAAGATGTTCTGAAGAGCAAGTTGTGCATCCATACGCTCATGTCACCTCTCTTTTTGAGGAACTATTTTACTCCACGATATAGCTGGTTGTTGTATTGCTGTCAGTGTAAACATGACGTCACACGTACTAAAAAAATTGTGTTTAGATATTAGCCTACATCCTTTGAGGTAAGAAATTGTGATAAAAAATTATAAGAATTGACTTTCACTTTCTGTGAGTTCATTGGAGTATGAACCTTCATACTCCAATACTCAATTCTTAAATAATATAATTCAAATTCACCTACTTCGGATATAAAATTAAATGTATTTTGAAGAAATATCATGATTGTCAATAACGAAGGCTGTGCCATTATAATGTTTTGGATAATTTATGCATCCTGGCTTTTCTGAGCTTCATCACAGCAGCAAACGGGTGTTTTTTGGCCACTGGATACTTATGCAACACCCATCGGAATATCCATTGCCGATAACAAACCCTCCTGAATCTTGGTTTCTGTCAACGGGTGCCTTTGCCGACTTCAACTTGCGATGGCCATATGTTCAGGATTCTGGAAATAATGGAGACCCCACGAGCTCTTTTGATGGTGGGAGTATGTTAGATTATACACCTGGAGTAGGTTCCTGTGGAGGAAAATATCCTATTTGGAGGAGAGGTAAATATGAACAGTTTTATTTGTTTTCATATGTTGTAAATCTTTACCACTGATGTCGTGACCTTCTGCAATATTTGTCTTATCCTTGAGATGGCAGTTTCCAGTCGTACTAGAAAATAGGCGTTTTAGTTAATTTTGACTTCTTTTTAGCGCATTCAATGTGTTTTAGCTCACCTGAATATAAGTCGCGTCCTGGTTGTCGGTGCCTTGAGATTGTAAACATCTTCTGGGGCAATTAAGCTTAAATTTCACATACTTGTTCCACACCAATCATAATAATCGATCAAGGTGTTCAAATCAATATTCAAATTCTTTTGGTCCGCCATGGCAGGCATATTGAAGAACCTGTATACGGAACAACTCACCAGGTGTTGTTCAATAAGTAATGATATTTGGTATATGTGTAGACAGAAGTGGGGTTCAACATGTGTTTTACGATATCTCATATTTCACCTTGATTTACCTCTGCACATCTACCATTCTACCATAATGAAAGCTCAAATTTCTTAAGGTCATTACTTAGCCATTTGCTTTCAAAATATATTGATATATGTGATCTCAAGACACATGTTCTATGTTTTGCAAAATGTTAAGTTTGGACCTGTATTTCACCTTTGAATTTTGACCATGTTCGTATTATCTCTAGAAGTGTTTTTTCTTGTTCTATAAACGACATCTCCTCAGTACAACCACTTACCCAGTGACAACGGAATCTTCATATGCTTTCTTCTGAATTTATTCTGGAGGTTCGATTTTCAATATAGTTACCATGTGTTATATATGTCCACTGTGCAGCTATTTCTGCTCACAATGTACTATTATGCTTTGACATAACTTTGGCATGTAAGGTTCTTTTATGGTGACATTTTGTTTGGATCATTTTATTGTGAAACAATTGGAAACATTGTATGGCATTCAACTGAGAAGGCATTTAAGGCTCAGGGTTGAAACTTTGTTTACAGTAAATTTAACTGTTGTAGATCATGTTTTACAATGCTACATGTGTTCTGTCGGATTTATCATTTTAGCTACTTGCTTTGTGTCTTCAGGAAACATACCCTAGAAGTACAGATAAATTTGATAATAGGCAGTGTAGTTGATATCATTCATATTCCCCTACAGGTGACAAATACATTGGAGGTTCATCTTTCTTGGTGAGACAGGGAAAAGTACTTCCGCCGACATCCTACAGTTCATAATTTAGATCGAGTAACTATGCCCCGAAAATCAATTGCCGCATTCTGATGTCCAAGGTCTGGAACATGATACAAAAAATCAAAGACAAAGAATCAGATTCTTCTGTTCATCATCATAAGGAAGGTGATCAGTTATTGACTGATGAATCAGATATTGCCAATAAACTTGGTGAAACTTTGGCTAAACATTCGTCCTCGTCTAATTATGTCCTAGAATTGAATATATATCAGAAACTTGAGGAAAAGATAAGTATTAATTTTAACCCTGATAATTAAGGGGAAGACTAGAATGAAGTATGTTCTTTCAGTGAGCTACATACGTTACCGAAGGCTGATAGTATTCACTGTCAGCTCCTGAAGCATTTGCCTAAATCATGTCTCGAAACCCTTTAAGATATATTTGACCAAACATGGACGTCCGGGATTTGTCCTCCTTTGTGGCATAATGCCATTGTAGATCTCTAAAATTACCTCCCTGTATCTTGAACCATCTTGAAGATGAGTTTGGTACTTAGAAACCAATAATTTAATAATAAATATTCAATGTGGTTTCAGAAAGAAATCGAAGTACTATTGATCATTTAGTATGATTAGAATCTTTTGTGAAAAAATGTTATTGTCAACAGACAACATGCAGAGTTAATATTTTTCGATCTTGAGAAAGCTTATGACACTACCTTGAAGCATGACATTTTTAAGCATTTACACATTTTTGGTCTGAGAGGCCGCTTGACACATTTTATATTACAGCTTTTAACAGGCAGACAATTTCAAGTCCCGTTGGTTCAACCCTGTCTGACCATTATAATCGGGCGGGGGGGAGGGGGGGGGGGGGGGGGGGGGGGGGGGGGGATCAGACAACCCTTCATTTAAATCGATCTTTTATCCGTTCCAAACTCATGAAATATTCCCTGTTTAATGACACTAAGACAAACTATTGTTACATGGGTACATCCAACAGTAGACTTCTATTGTTCATTCATTAAGTAAATAATGCTATTATAACTGATACTAATCATTATTTAATACGAAAGCCCAATGGCCACATTGTAAGGATAAATTTGTTTATTTTAAATCATTATTTTATTTCAATTATTTTCTTGATATTTCAATTAGTTTCTCGTCGAAATCGAAATTTCCAGAAAACATGATTGGAATAGCGAGAAAGGTCGATTTAACAAAAATGAATATGCTTCGAAGGTTATATCCCATTAGTTAGACGTCCCATTAGTTAGACGTCCCAATTGTTAGACATTTTTCTTTAGGCAAAGAGGGAATATACCTACAGGTGTAATGGATCAGTCCTAATTAGATTGAAGTACTGAGTAGGGATAGGGGACTCATAGTTTAGGGAGTATATATGTTACAATTTCATTTAATTAACTTAAATTACCTAACTCTCAGCACAGGTTCAGTAGGCATGAGATTAACTATGTAAACTGTGGAGTAGCTTAATTGTCTTACTGTATGATCAGTTGAAGGAGTTGAGTTATGATTATCTGCTTATCAAACAAATGAAAATGATCTGCTATTGAGTATTTCGATGCTTGTGGACACTTGCTTCGTCTGGGATAAATAAACTGTAAACGTTATTAAATGTAAAGTGCACATTACCAGAAACTGTCACAAAGTGTTGTTACAAACTGTATAAAATGTATCAAATGTAAAGTGCCATTAAATGTCAAGTATAATATTAAAGTATCTATTTAAAGCTGCTTTGCTTTGTTTGTCAGATCTTATCTGGACTATTCCATTTTAAAGTCTGAGGTAACAAGCATAAGGATTAGTGTGCACTCAACCGTTTAAAGTGTTGTAATAAGCTGTCTAACTATTGGGACGTCTAACTAATGGGAGGACACCGCTTCGAAAGCAGGACTAATAGGCTTTCGTACTTGGACTCAAAACTAGTCTGACTGGGGTCTATATTTATGGGACATTCGGCAACGATTTGCAAGAGGGATCAAACTGTAACAACTGAAGGTCTAGACAACAATATCGATAATATCGATACTGATGGTAACATACAAATGCGGGTTTTATTTTGGCAGGTTATTCTAAATGTACACTTTACTTATAGCAACTATGTAAATAGTTTGGAGTTAACATTTCTATTTTCTATCGTTGCAATATATGATGTAAATCAAAACTTCGGTGTCTTGGTGTATATTTCTCAGCGATATAAAAACAATAATTAAAAATGCAAAAAATGTTGCAAGCCTCAAATTACAAACGCATTATTAAAAGTGAGATCCACCATTTGCAACCATTTACAGAGACTTATTTCTGTCTCAAGATAAAAGATTGAGTTCGTGATGCTACATCTTTATTTTTAAAGTACAAATTATAATAAGGAGCACAACATCGAGCATCAATTAAAGTTAATCTCAAGTAAAATCTAGAAAAGGGTTTGAAAGTAAACAGAAACATACTGTTTTCATTGATAAATTCCTATATCCGTTGAACAACTTGATACCCAAATTGTATTACAGTACTTCATTATGACGCTGGAAATCTTTTGACAAGGTAAACACAATTTTATGGATTACAACTTCTTTAATACTGTAAAAAGCGACGTTTCGGTATACATCCTTATACCGTTGTTATAAGCAAGACTGAATGAGGAACTGACTGACTGATATAGAAGATTTAACGTGCGCTTTCCGACTGCGGCGTATTTCGCACACGGGCCTGGCCAGGCCATTTAGTGTATTCCGAGAAGGGTGAAAGTGGTGTGTGCAACCCAAGAGGGGGCTTTTAGGGGTTGCTTATATCGATTTTTTTGAAATTTTAAAATTTGGAATAAATGCCGAGGTGGGTGGAGGAGGGAACTAAGGGAGCCGGGTGAGGTTGGTGTTTGTATGTTTATTGGATTTTGGATTGGTAGATTAATTAGTTTTTAGATGCGCTTAATTAGGCCTGTTTTGATTAGGAATACGCCTAGGGCCTTGAAGTTTTCTAGTTTATTTTGAGGGTTTAGTATTTCATCTAGAGTTGGAACCTTATTTAGATTGAGGTTGGTTTGTAGTGTGGTTCTGTGTGTTTGGTAGTGGGTGCAGTGGATGAGTGCGTGTTCTGTGGTTTCGGGTTGTTTGCAGTGGGGGCAGTTGCCCGTGGTGTGTCTTTTAAGTTGTTTTAGGTGGTTATTTAGGTTCGTGTGTCCTGTTTGGAGTTTTGTAATTAATCTGTCAATTTTTTTAGAGGGGTGTAGGATTTTAGGTTTGGCTAGTGGTTTTCTGAGCACTTTTTTGATTTGGCTATTTGAGTTTTGATATTGATTATGCCATTTTTTGGTTATTTTTTGTTTGTTTACACTTTTAATTTCTGAAATGAGGAACATAGTACAGAATATATGTAGTAGGTGGAGGATTAACAGTAGAGGATTAAAAGCAACAACATTTGCATATATGAGTGGGATAACATAGGTAGGTGTTGACACCAAGGGGATAATACTGTCACAACACGATGGACAGAGAACACATATGTGGAAGCCAACAGGAGCATGAAGCCAATTAAACAGGATAAGTTATTATTGCTTGATGAGTTCATAGTAGGCGGATGGGAAGAAATAGGCTTGATCTTTGATGATTGATGGCTCGTTTGATGAGGATGGAGATGATGCCAGTCTTGGTTCTAAGGTGGTGGTTGGAGTTGAAGTGGATATACTGGTCGGTTAGGGTGGGCTTCCGGTAGACACTGGTTTGGATTCTGTTTGTTGGGCTTCAAAACCAGAATGAAAGAGCACAAAACCTCCACCATTAAATCCGACAGTAAATCAGCCATTTCGGACCATATCAGCAACTGTCCTAATCACAGAGCTCGTTTTTTAAGTTTCATCTTAAATATGAAAAACCTTGCTTAACGACTGCAAATATATCCACAAGTTATTCATTGTGCGTTTTGATAGATAATACTTATCCATGTCACATATTCGTGCAAGCAAAAAATAAAGCAGGAAAACAGGCACATACACTTTATAATCCACCATTACACATTTCAACCCCACCCTCCCAACCATGTGAAGAGTTGCGTTCCTTTGGCGTTGCCAGAATCCTATGACTGTGGACGTGGGTTTGATTACCATTTTCATCCTGATTTTCGCTTTTGACTTTTCAGCATTTGTTATTCGCCAAAGTAGTTTTTTGGCATTGCTACGGGCTTTCCTCCCACATTAACCTGACACGCAGTGACATAATTTAAATGATGTTGTGACTAAATGCTATTCAAAGAGGCGTAAACAAAACACAATCAGATAAATGTTGCATCAAGCAGTAACTAATATTCACATAACATTCTTGTGTAAGTAAATTTTACCTTATATAGAAGTTATATGTTAAGAATATTTAGTTGGACTATGATTTATTCGATGTCAGAACGAAATTGTGGCATACATCACTTTGAAAGGAGGTCACAGTGGCGTCCTACTGGTAGGACAATTGTCACCACTTGTCTTCGATGGATGCAATTACATTAATCTAATTGGATCTGACTACCATACATTACAAAAACCTTTACGTATGTACATTGATTGATTTTTTATGTTTTAACATACACAAAGTCAAAACTATTGACATTTTTTAAATACTTTAGGTTATAAAAGCTCTATGAAAACAACAACTCATCGTTGAAATCACGTTCTCTGACTGACTGATACTATACATTATGTGCTGATCATTTCTTATTATGTACTTGAAACACAGACACTTCTATCACGTTCTAAACTTGGTGACTTGACAGCTATTTGCAGTAATAATACACAGCTTCAGAGGTAGGTCTTAAGCCAAAGGACACCTCCAGTTTCTGCACAATTTTTACAAAGGTAGGTCTTGATTGAGGATTCTTCTCCCAACAACTGCCCATCATGTTGTAGTGGCTGAAAATATAACCAAAAAATGCACAATATGGCAGGTCCGAGTATAAAACTATTTATAACTAAAATATCTTTGGAGTATAATTAATACTTAGATGACGGTTAGTGTATTTTGTCAAGTCTTTTTTACTTTGATCAATAAAGAAAAGTATGGCCGAGTAGATCAAAGGGGGATTAAAGCCATTCTTAGAATGGACATTCCAAATGTAGTAAACGTTCACATTTTTATTATTTCTAATTGTCAGGGGGCTGAATGCCTTGGATCAGGGTGTTAATTAATGTGAATAAAGAAATGATATACAATGTAGTAAATGTTCACAGTTTTATTATTAACAGCTAGATATAATTAACGAGAGACAATATAAAGTGACAACGTCCTTTGTCACAGGCAAAGATCTCTAATACATTAACAATGAAGGGATATGCAAGCTCGTTAACTAAGCTTTGTTTGTTTGTTTGTTGTTTAACGCCGCGATCAGCAATATATCAGCTATATGACGGCGGTCTGTAAAATAATCGACTCTGGACCAGACAATCCAGTGATTGACATCATGAGCATCAATCCAGGCAATTTGGATCGATGACGTGTATCAACCAAGTCAGCGAGCCTGACCACCCGATCCTGTTAGTCGCCTTTTACGACAAGCATAGTCGCCTTCAACGGCAAGTATGGGCTGCTGAAGACCTATTCTACCCCGGATATTCACGTTAACTAAGCAGCCGTGTACCAGCTATTACAAAAGATGGGTAAAACAACACTCTGACCAGTCAATCAGCCAGACACATAGAAACCAGATTAAGTGTGAGACCAATGATCACTCGGGAGTTTTGCTGTGCACTTCCTAATGAGTTGGCAACCAAATTTGACTAAATCTGGACAAATTGGCAATGTGGGCCTGTCCCTAAAACCGTCTCTTGGACGAAAAACGAAATATTTGACTTCCAGAGTATGCAAGTACTTGACCTACAGGTACTTTACTTCCAACAATAAAAAGGTACTTGACCTAAGCTAGATTATCCTGAAAGGTAGAAATTAGTTGTTCACGGAAAGCAAGGAGTACATTATTCAAATATGATACCCTAGATTGTAAGTTTTGCAGTCACGACAGGGGTAAGTCAGTATAAGATCCAAACTGCCCAGTGACCACCTGCTGTCGAAATTAAGTTCGACCGATCACACAGTAACTGAGCGACCCGTCAAGGTCTTACGATTCCTGGAGATAAAGTCACTTAGTAGCGCTGAGCTATTTAAGCTTGACTGGCCTCGGAGAAAGCTATAATCGCAAGCTGCCCGTGAACGCCGTCTAGCCCCTCAAGCGAACAGAAATGTGCTTTCTTCAGTAGTGAAACACGAATTGTAAACTAACTACAAAACCAATACAAAAACAAATAAAGGACTGATACACAGTATTACCCACGCGTACCATTGAACAGTTACAGCCAGATATGTACAATTAGTAGGATGGCAAACTTAACTATAACTATATGAGAAATCCCGCTAATGCGTGAACATCAAAATTATGAAACACGTTCAACATGTGAATATGCTTGTACTCGCATGGGAGATAGCATATATAAAATCAACACATGATGAGAGTATAAGATTAAACTGTTAGAGATTGAAATTTACGGACAACAAATTCTCAAGCGCTTGCCCAAGTGAACACAAAGTCAAAGATCTTCAGTCGTGCGGCTGATCATGAGGAGAGGAGGGATGCTCCCTCCGAGCTGGACCACAACGAGCTGGGGTTTAACTCCCGGTGACACTTATTTTATCCCATTAATTATGCAAAGCGCCAGGCAAGGTTACATCTATCTTTAAACGTCTTTTGGTATGCATCTTCAGGAGCATCGAACCACCGACATTCCACTCTTCGGACAGATGCTCATATCCACATCACCACGGGGGCGGTCTTTGTCGAGAGAGGGAGTTTAATTATAATATCAACAAAATTTAATTTACTTCATTTAACTTCTTTGAGGGGCATTTGGAAGTATATCATTTCGTAAATAGCTGGGACACAGGTGTGAAGACTTGCATCACTTTTGGCGTTCTCCCATATAAAGGTCACAAGTCGCGATATAACTGAAATATTGTTTAAAGCGGCGAAAAACTTAACTCAAGTCCTTAAACACATATTTACTCTGACTCATTCCTGCAAGTGTTGTCATCAATCACTTACATGTCTTCAGCATACTCAGGTCTGGGGAGTCTGTAACCGTTCCTGATTTTGGCAGGTAGATCTCTGCTTCGAATGTCAGGATATGGCGTCTGACCTGATATTGACAAACATTATTTAAACCTCAAAGACATCGATGTATCACGAATAGTATTGTCGAATCGTAAATAACTCATCAGAACGTCGCGCACACAAAGGTCGTTTCTAACCATACACCCCCGTGATGATCCGGAGTAGAATAGATCTTTAGCAACCCATGCTTGTTGAAAGAGGCGACTGACGGGACCGAGTGGTCAGGCTAGCTGACTTGGTTGGTTCATGTCATCGTATCCCAATTGCGTATCCCGATGCTCATAATGTCAATCACTGGATTATCTGGTCCAGACTCGATAATTTACAGACCGCCGTCATATAGCTGAAAAATTGCTGAGTGCGGCGTTAAACAACAAATAAATAAATTAATAACTTCTAACAATTAACAAATCATTTTATTGATAGGTGTGTTTGCATTTTTAGTAAGCACATTCGTTCCCACGTGTGCATTTGACATCAGTGCATGAAGTTCATTATGTGAAACATAAAAGTATGTTAATACAAATGCTGTCGTCCATTTCATCCTTTCGTTATGCCATAAGTACCTAGAGAATAGACCCTTGAAGACCCGGGGTAGAATAGATCTTCAGCAACCCTTGCTTGTCGTAAAAGGCGACTAACAGGATCGGGTGGTCAGGCTCGCTAATTTGGTTGATGCACGTCATCGATCCCAATTGCGTGGATCGATGCTCATGATATTAATCACTGGATTGTCTTATCCAGACACGATTATTTACAGACCGCCGTCATATAGCTGGAATCATGCTGAGTGCGGCGTTAAACAGCAAACCAACCAACTAAAGAACAGCTACTCTCATCAACATGATGACCATTTCAACGAGTAAACCTCGGATCTAAATGGTCAAGCCTATTCTTCAATCAATCAATCAATCATTATTTCAGTACTGAAAAGAACATAGGCCTATAGTACATATATACATATAGTAGCAATGGGTGCAATAGGAATAACATATATCGTAACTAAATATCATCTGTAATGCAAAGGATCATAGCATGGTATATATAGATTGCAAGATATTTTGTGACTGTTTGATTTTGAGATGACATGAGCATATGAAATTTGTCTATTCTAGGATTCAGATAAAATATGTATGTATGTATTTGTTTCTGATATTTGCATACAATGGACAGACCACCATAAAATGGTATTCATCTTCTATATTATGACAAGTACAATATTTGCACGATATGTTTTCTCTTTTATCGCTTAATATCTACATTTTTCTGTTAGAAAGTCATTAGTACTACATCTGAAACGAGGTAGTGCTGTTAGGAATTTCATAACATTTATGTCCAAAAGATATTTTTCAGTAAGAATGAAAGATTTAAAATACGAGTTATGATTTAACTGAAGAGTACCACTTTTGAAAATACATATCTTTTAGCCTTTGTCTTAAATTATGTATGAAATGTCTGGTACTGTTACATTTGTTCTCGCGTAGTGTAATTACACCCGCAAGATTGCAGAATCGTTTTGACACCCGAGACCCAGTTATTTTTACCTCTACTATCGTAACGCATCATCATGGTATAGCATTTCTTTTGGAATCTGGTGCTTGGCATTGTAAACAATTTTATCCATTATCTTATTACATTTATGTGACTAAATATATATACATTGGGCATGTCCTACATTCCCCATAAACTGTAACATTTGGCGTGTTGGAATTTACCCCTAAAATCTTTGACACGCATTTAGATGTACCTTTTCAATTGTATCATAGTTTTCTAGACAATCCACTGATTGACATCATGAGCATCGATCCACGCAATTGGAATACGATGACATGCATCAACCAAGTCAGCGAGCCTGACCGCCCGATGCCCTTAGTCGCCTCTTACAAACATAGTCGCCTTTTACAGCAAGCATGGGTTGCTGAAGACCTCTTCTACCCTGGATCTTCACTGTTCTGTGGAGTTTAGTTATTCAGTTGTATATTAGAAAAGTATTTCTTGGGTACATATCTTTTCTTTCTTTGTCAAGAACATTACGAAACGGTTCCATAACAGAATCATTAGAACCCTTAAAATTGATAGTTCGTAAGGTACAATTTCATTTAATTCTATGTCTCTGACCCAAACCTTATCTGCTTGATCTTCAATGATCCAAGGAACTTCATGTATAGAATTATTTTTGTCAACTTTATTTTATTCATTTAATTAGGCACATACATGTGTCATATACACACACAAACATTTTATACTTACACACAATTCAAATACATTTTTCAAACAAAGTCATGATATCAAGAAAAATAGATACAGTAACATACATTATTGATTACAGGTAAAAGTTGAGTTGGCCATTTCTCCTCGAACACTATATAATTGTTTTCTTGCTTGCAAAATAATATCTGTTATGATTATTTCTTATCTTTGATACTTGAGATGAAGATCTATACTGCAACTGTCACGAGAAACGGTTTCATGAGATCATAGCAGCTTACAGTTCCCAACCGTATTGCAATATTATTTGATATACCTACCCATGCTAAGTATCTCCCACATAGTGATGCCAAAGGACCAGATGTCACTCTTCTCGTTGGCCTCCTTCAGAGACTGAAGACACTCTGGAGCCGTCCACTTCACAGGGATTCGATCCTGAAACATCAGTTCGTTTTAATGAGAAGTGTAAGCATGACTTGTTTAGAAGCTATCAATAATTATTTGTTACGAATGTGAAGAATTAATGTGACAATACGGAGAAAATCCCACATAGTCAACCTCATCAACATCCACATTTTCGTCCTTGTCCTCATTCTCTCCCTCGTCTACATCCACACCCTCATTCTCATCCATTTCCACGTCCACTTTTAGTTCCATGTTCTATGAGACGTAATTATCCACGTCCATATCAACAACAACGTCCACAATTATATCCACATCCACGTTCATGTCCACTTTCAGTTCCATGTTCTATGAGACGTAATTATCCACGCCAATATCAACAACAACGTCCACAATTATATCCACATCCACGTTCATGTCCACTTTCAGTTATATGTTCTATGAGACGTCCATATCAACAACAACGTCCACAATTATATCCACATCCACGTTCATGTCCACTTTCAGTTCTATGTTCAAATACACGTCATCATCCACGATCACATCCACGGTGCTTTGGAACTAAAGGTTATCAGCAGACTACCCCTGCCTGTGACATCACATCTGGTGACCTTTGCACTTACTGAAATATTGCTCTCAGAATTCACGATCGTTATTTTCGAAGACAAATGAAACATTCTTCGACTGAGAAGATCGTCAACATTCGCCGGTGCATATTGAGGAAGGCAACGTAAGTTTTGTTGATATCAAAATAGCAAAATGTTATCCAGAGGGTGGACGAAGCTTGCATCATGACACGGGATTTGTATTTTTGTATTTAGTAAATATTCAACCAAAACACTTGAAATTAGGATTGGTGAATATTTCTTGTCATTAATTGTTTCCTGCAAATTTTATAACGTGACACGTTAGATTTCTGCAAGTTGTCGTCACGATATGGCTGAAATATTGCCGATGTGACGTTCAATCATAACTCACTCACTCACTCACTCACTTAAATGTCTGCAACTAACTTGACGACCTCGGAAATTGAGGTTTTTTTCTGTTTAACGTTTGGATAATACGATTACTGAAAGGGTTCTTAGTTTACCATCGCGCTGTTATTTGCCAATTAAAAAATCGAATTTATACTTAGTTAAAATCAAGATAGCGGAGATATGATTATTGAAATATATTTGCACAAATTTAACGATTGGAAAAGCAAACCACTTTCAATAACGTAAACCAAGTAAGTTTACACATTTTTTATTCGCTTTGTTAACTTAACCTTGGTAAGATTGAAAACATTAGGCTACTTTTACAAGGTAATGTGTAGTTTTCTTTCGTGAATAAATGTGCCAATCTGCCAATAAATATATCTTCAATTGGCCCATGTTAATGACGCACCGACTGTTTGAAATCGTTCACCCTATTTACAGCGCCTTGTGCTAAAACAATTCAGCAGGCTGAAGATTAATGGATAACATCTGTTAACTTTTAATTTACTTACCAATTTCTAGAATGCCAATCAAACATTCATCCTTTATTCTCATTTTCATTCTCATATACACCCACAGCGTTACAAAGACATTGCTCTAAAATAACGGGATTTCAAAGTAATTTCGAACAAAGTCACACTCCTTCAGAGGACCATATCATTGGTGATAAAATTGTTAATAACATAATTTCAAAGATATTTAATCTTGTTTCATTCCAATTCCGTGCCCGTGGGATTTCAATGTAGATGTTGGTATTAATCAAATATGAAAATGGAATCTAAAGTATTGGTATGGTAGTCGGCTTACCGCTTTTGCATTGTTGGTGTTGTCATCGTCGTTGGTGTCGTCCATGCAGCTCGGCCCAAATCCACTGATCTTCACCTCGTATAAAAATGTTACCAGGCAGTTCCGAGCAGCCAGTTTTCGGTGAACAATCTACACAATAAAATATACATGGTTTTTTTAGGAAGGGGTAAGCGTGACACATAGTGGTTGGAGTCCCTGCTGTGCAGAGTTCTGTTCCCCAGACTTACCAGAATTCGTTGATCGTTGGACCGAATCCTTGTCTCGCCCTGAGTATGACCTTCAGTCTGTCAGCAACAAGCCAGAGTTCGTGGATATCAACAAATGGGTAAATGAATCCCACCAATACCACCTTGGGGTTTTCTGCCATATCAACCAGGCCCAAAGATACAATAGTCGAAAAGCTGTTGTGTTGACCCAGGATCTGATACGTGCCTGTTGTGACGTACAGCCCATGTAAACTAACGAAATGTGCCATGATCTTTGCTCTAAGTTATGATTATCCAAATGTGCAGAATAGTTATAAATGTCTATGATGAAAGTAATTAATTACTTAAAGTATTATCTGTGTTGGAACGATTCCTCACCACTGCAGCTGCCTGGTATGTGGCAGATACACTAACTTCTAAGCAAGAATCTCTGGTTAGGAAAGCATCTGAAGGAAACACATACCTCTTTATTGGCCAGAAATTCCATTCCTCTGGCAACACCCAAGACAAACATCTGAATCCTCTCCAGAACGTCCATGTCCACTTTGTCCCGATTGTCCTTGAGCCACGTGTCCAGCTGACCATTTTCACAGTACTCTAAGACCATCATTGGGCCGACTGAAAGAGTGAGTGGGGGAGCGTGTGATCGAGTGACCGTGTGAATGATGTATCGCGCTTCATCAGCCATCTTGCCATTCGCGACGACCGAAAGAAGATATGTAGCTCGTGTTAATAGACACGGTGGATTAAGAAGCAGATAGCCAGGGCCAGGGACAATGACTAGGGAGGGGTAAATCCTGCTTTATTGATATTCCAGATGACAACAACTTGATCATACAATGATTGAATGAACGTTTCACGCAGTAGGATATTCAAGCTATATCATGATTGCCAGCAAACACGAGCAACGATAAGGTAGCGATACGCCTGAGCATGAGGTGTTAGGGACCAAGTCTGCCTCGGAAACCAACTGGCCGTAAGGAGATGATTATAAGGTGAATTGGGGTTTATCGCAGCGTTTAAGATTATTGCACTTACGTTTTTGAAACGGCGTGCATGTCTGTGTAATACTGCTTGTAGTCCAACCTTACAGTGCAAGCTCATTGAAACGGACATTACATTCTTATGCCCATCATGGTGAGCGCCAGACAAGTAACAGTAATTAACATCTTTCAAACTCTGGTAGGACACATCTTCCCGAGGCAAATAGAGTTAACTGACAATAAAAGTCCACTTTCCACCCTTGCTGAACTAGGATGGTATTATGGAGTTACATTTTGGCTGGACTAACGAGTCTATGCATTGTCCAATAAAAATCGCGTAACGAAATCGAAATCCGGTTCGTAAACTGTTGTGCAGATTTCGGTCGATTGCAGGATTTGCACCGCCAACTCGTTGTCAACAGATATTTTCCAAATCCTTTAATCAATGTGCTGACGTGATTTGATGCATTTCGCGATGTAAGACCCGTTTTACCACAATATACATCTTGATTGTCGATCAGATCATCTTGACTGGGCGCCGCCATTTTGTTTGAAGCAAAATTAATGCAAGTGATACGAGGGGTGGAATCTGATTGGTCCATGGGAGAGGCTTAAAAGGGACAATAACTCGTAATAGCCACTGGTGGCGCTAAGATCGAGCCCAGGAATTCCATCCCAGTTTGGCAAGGGTGGAAATTGGACTTTTAAAGTCAGTTAACTCTCTTACCTCGGGAAGATGGGTTGGCCAGCAGGGCCAGGGAATGAATCACCGACCTTTCACTGTTCCAGCAGGTTCTCTGTCAACGAGGTGGCTCAGTCGAGGGGAACACACCATGGCAATCAACCGTGTAAGTTCTTTCCAACTTTAAACGCATATTTCCAGCTACATTCATGCGTACAAATAACACTCACGTGCATCGTTGTTGACAACAGCGCCAAGAAATCTCAGCACGTTGCGATGTTCTCCGACCTGTGTTGCAGCAAAGTTGATCTTGGCCATCATCAGCAACTTGTTTTCTTCATCTGGTATATCTGTAATGTTACCGATCATTAGAGCAGTTAAATCCCGTCAAACCGGACAGTGCCATTGTTGGTTAAACCGTCCTGGTTAATGAATTTCCTGATTGATAAATTGTTTGTGAGTAATAATCTCCCTACTATACACGTTTTCTGTCAGTATAACTCATCTGGAGGTCTGGATTTCTGATTTAATGAAGTCTGGTCTAAAGAAGTTCTCCTATTTTGCTGTTGTTTAACGCCACAATGTCATTAATATAAGAGCTTTAAATCGGAGAGATACTTCTTAGCATGAAGATCTGAGTACACATCGGGCCAGGATGTATAAAGCACATCCTTCATTATATATACACATTGACAATAACGATATTTCCGAAGGAGGTAAATGTGAGTTACACGTGATAAGAAAGATAATGGAGTGTAGAGTAAAAATACATTAGTTGTCGTTATACAAGTAGTATCTCTAACCTTTAAGTTACTTTCAATTTAGTAAAGAAGATGATGACAAACACTAAGAATATGCAGAGCGAGATATGTTTAGTTACATGTAGGTGTGAAACAGATTATTCACAACAAAACAATATTAAATCAATGCTTTGATGTGTTTACTATCAGGGGTAAGGGGGTGACAGATTGCCCCACTAATTGTGCAGATTGCTTCCCTCACTAATAGTGCACTGGTCAGTGAGAAACCTTTTATTGCACAACTAAGTACGCAGATTGCTTCCCCCACTACTGATGCATTGGTCAGTGGGAAACCTTTGTCTCCTAATCATACCTGCAGATGAGTCAGCGGCGTAGTTGGGTGGTGGACAGTCGCCATGCCAAAGCAATAATTACTGTACTGGTAAGGGCTTTTAACATTCACCTTTGAACCTACTATTAATGTACCCGAGACTTGACAGACATGCTGCCTAAATAAGCAGTTGTGGACCCTCAGACGGACTTGAGTTGTTCATGCCGAAATCATCACTTAGATCACTAAACTCTAAATGTGACACCACTGTGATTACCTCTGATAACCTTTGCTGCCACTTCGCTCGCTGTTTTTCCGGATTTGTGAGAAGCTTTATACATTTGTGCAAATCTTCCAGTGTGAAGCTTGTCCTTTAAGGTTAAGTCTTCCATGGATATGTGCCATGTCTGAGCCGTGGCGAACGTCATGCCGCCGTAGAGGTAGATGTCTTCGTCGTCGTATGCATTGTTCTGTGAGGGACATAAGTTTCAAACCATCAGTCGATGGGTGAAAGAGCAATTAATGTTCAGTTAAGAATCAATGCTAGCATGTGACAATTTGTGCATTCATTTGAGGGATATAAACACAACTGGTACGCGAAACAATGCCCACTGTCAAACCAATACTGAATGTAACTTACTCTGTGTTTATCAGTTTCTCACATCCTATTGTCCGATATATTTAACTGTGCATTGCGGAATGATGTGGGATCTCAATAAACTTGGCAACATGGTTTAATTAGACTTCTTGGCGTCTGTCGAAATTCCACTGACAGATTACATATCCTAAAACTGACTTATCAGCAAATCACATTGCTTTACATGGAACAAATCCTATAGCAAGGCATACCAGGACAGCCAGAAATACAAAGGAAGCCTAGGGCATCACGTGCGTCAGGGGACCGGTGCCATGCGACTGGCCTTTAACATTTGTGCAATAGTTGACATAGAGAATCTCATCCGAGTGTCTTTTGAAATCAAATATAGCGACACTAGTTGATAAAAGTGGGAAAACTCCGAGGCTTGCCGAAGACTTTTTTCCACTTTTATCAACGAGTGTTGATATATTTGATATCAAAAGACACGAGGGTGAGATTTTATTTATCATCCAACATCATTCTTTTTCAGTTTGTAGAAAGTTATAAGCAGTGTCTTAAGTGTAAAAAGTACTGCTAACAGCTTCATTAGCAGAGTCATTAGTGATGTCATTTGATTGTGACGTCATGGTAATCAATGACGTCACAATGGTCTGCAATGTTTGATCTCAAATAAGCGATATCTCCTGTGGGAGCCAGTTTGGATGATAAATCATTTTGTCATATTTGTTCCCAGGGAATAATGTTCATCCAAAAAGTTAAAAAAACTATCCTATCAATTAGTGACGTGGATGCGCCATCTTGATTGGATGACAGAAAACTGTTACCAAGGATACATTAGATCACGGGGACAGACAAGTTGAACAGCGACGTAAGCCCATGATGACCTGTACTATATCGCAGAATTGTGTGCCTGTGGTCTTTTAGCAAAGCTTCTTAATAACATTATCAGATTTTCGCACGGTTGGCCCGTTGTCCTCTACAGTGATAAAGCAGAAAGGGGCCCCGAGGTCAGGTTCTGTGACCAGACCGATTACGTGGCGTCGTCTTCCAGATGACATGGATCATTAGTCTGACCTTCATTCGCTGTTTTTGTCTGATCCCGACTCCATTAATTATCGACCGCCATTCTAAAGCTGTATGAATGTTAAATATGGTGTTAATCACGCTTTCACTCATCACTGTATCTTCTACCTGATAGGACAAAACTCCTCCTCTATTGTTTGAAGTTCCAAGATTGTTTGTGATCCTCCCAGTCACGTTTCCTTCACGTCGACTTTGTCTGTTCTCACGTTGCTTGATGAGCACCGCCAGCCTGCCGGTCCTCCACAGCAGGAACACAGCTCCCAGCACAACAAGTATAAGGAGAAGCGCTGGGGAATACATGTTGTCAGAGGCATTACTCAAGGAAAGTAAACGATCCAAAATATGGAATAAAACAGTTTAGTTAAATTTATCTCACAAATGTTTCTCAGCACAGTTCTGGCCATTTAAGGTGCCAGAGCATTTTGTGTTCAGAAGTGTTTGTCTTTGTCCCAGAATTTCAAGGAAGAGTTATCTTTCTTTGCCTAACCAGTTCCTTCATGGCTGCGAAATAAAGCCTGTTGACCTTATCACCTGGCAAATAAGCTGATCTTGCCTTTCATCTTCAATAAATATTTATATATTTTTATTTTTTTATTATAGTAATTTAATCATGAACAGCTGCTCATACCTATAACAATTCCTGCTACAGCGCCTGCACCAATGCCTGACAGATCCGCTGTAAGTGCACAATTCAAACATTTGAATGGCATGATGTAACGTGTAAAAACGCAATATGTAATAGGAGTTGCATCTTGTTCGCTGGAGTTATCTCCCTTATAGTTGTCGCCCTTTGATGTCTGGCGTAATTCTACTTAAGAAGAGAGTCGTTCTTATGATATAACATAGCTACGCGATAAATCGCAAAGAACAATGGAGAACGAAGTGTGGATTATTTCACGATAATATATTGTGTTATCATGATTCATTTCTGGAGATTCGAATATGCGCTTGCAACACGCAGACGTCGAGTATTGGACGACGTTATTTTTGTGTGTTGAAACATTTAGAACGAAATCAGAATAGAACTTACATGTGGTGAAATATGATGATTTTGGTACACTCTTAATGTCTCCATACTCTGCTGTTACAGAGACTCTGTATTTGGTGCCGGGCTCAAGGCCTACGATGTCGTAAGATTTAGCGTCTTTGAAGACCTGCACAGGATCAGACGCTCCCGAGTCCCACTCGTAGCTGACCAAGATGGCGGTCCTCTCGTAACAGCTTGGGGCGTGGTCCCAGGTAACACGCACCGTTGTGTCCCTCACCCTCTCTGTTTTCACATTCTCAAGGCCGAAGACTAGAAAAAAAGGCCCGGCAAACGTCACAAAAAGTCCAAGAGAGTCGTATTTCTAATCTCAAGTATGGTCCAAATTATATTAGACAAGAGTGTGACACCAATTTTACCAGCACTGTCTGAATTGTAATATTTAATGAAGGGTGGAATAATTTTGTCTGTTGGTTATTTCACGCCGGATTCAGGGCTGTATTCCAGCCGTATGTAAATAATAGAGTCTGGATGAGACGATTCATTGATTGCCATGGGAATAGATCCACACAACTAGGATTCGATGACATGCATTCAACCAAGCAACGCTGATTGACCACCCAATCCATATTGTCTTAAAACGAGCATAGGTTGATGGGGACCTAGATATACTTGACCCGTGAAGATCCGGGGTAGAATTCGTCTTAAGCAACCCATGATTGCCATAAAAGGCGACTATGCTTGTCGTAAGAGGCGACTAACGGGATCGGGTGGTCAAAGTTCGCTGACTTGGTCGATACATGTCATCGATCCCAATTGCGTGGATCGATGCTCATGATATCAATCACTGGATTGTCTGTTCTAGACTCGATTATTTACAGACCGTCGTCATATAGGTCGAATATTGCTGAGTGCGGCGTTAAACAACAAATAAACCAAACAAACGAAACTATATATTCTTACTCGGAACCCTGATGGTTTGAATGGTATTTTAAGATGGTGTAAAATCAGTATTAAAGGTACAATTTATAAGGATGTCATGCACAAAAATTAATCATGCATAATATTATGGAAAGTAAAGGGGGAGGCTAGAGGGGTGTTGCGTTGAAATGTCAAGTATTATATTTTTAAATCGCTGTAGAATTCTTAAATAATGGTATAATGGTACCACTTACATGCTTCTGTTCCGTTGAGCTGCATGAGATTCCTTATCTATGATAATGAAATAGTGTAATGATTATTCGAATTACCAGATTGGATTTGTGGTAACTACAACTCGTACCACCTGTTTATATAACCGTTACGTTGGTTGCATTCACAACGTAACAATGGTCTTAATTAACTAGATTTTACGAGCGCTTCCAGTTGAGATGACAGTCAGTAATGACATTCTATTGTTTAACACTTTAATATAAAAGGCACATCAACCGGTTCGCAATGTGCAAATCTGCTATTCTCTTTGTAGTTCAAATGTTTTCCAGTACTCACCGGGTGCACCCTGCGTGTCGTCAACCCCGCCCTGTTGACCACGCCCACCTCCATCTGAACATGGGCAGTCTCGAGGGCGTCCTTGGCCACCATCAGCCAGCAGTTGCTGATGAACAGTTTGTACACTCGTTTGTAACACACGTTCAGGGCGTTAGGGCAGTAGCAGTCGTGTACTCTGTCCGTGCATTTGTGCGGCTGCAGTGATTACAATCACATGAACACTTATGTACATTCAATTGAAAAAGAAGATGGACGGGTTCTTGGTCCCACAATGTATTTTTTTATGAATTACTAATAATAAGAATAATATTAAGCTTTAAAGCATGAATACGAGGCACATATAGCAGCGTTTCGAAAGGACATATATGGACTCATGAATGTTTAATTTAATATGCGTAACATTATAGAACGTGATTTTTAAAACAAACACCATTAAATATGATAATAATTTGACAATAATGTCTCAACTATCATATAATATGTTAGCGCCTATGATATGCATAGCTTCACGATTCCATCATTAAAAAGGCTGTATTCACCAGAATAGAAGCAATCGTCAAGTTCTTGTGGGTCATTAAATGGCCGTCACCAATCTCTGTGACTTTGACTGCAAGGTGATCAATCCCGCTCTCCTGGTCTTTCATTGTCACCTCTAACCTGTGAACCGTGGGAACATTAAAAGCAAAATACTATCTTCATTTACAATTCGGAGAACGAGATCTAGACTTGGTTGAAGCAGATATCCCGAATGACCAATGACATTTTTCTGTCCCAATATCCAACGACCTTAGACTCAAAAACAGAATGGTAGGTTTCACAAAAAAACGAAAACTTCTGAGACATGAGTGAAATTGTGTGACTTGCTATAATATTAATACTGTTCAACGAGTCGTTAAACCCAGCTCAAAGTTTCTCTTTCCAAGATTGTTAAATCATGGATTGAGAGTTAATTACAAGCTTTCCATCTGAAGGATGACTGCATATTCCACTGGTTTAATCATTTCCTTCAAACCCTACTAGCCAATATCACAATACGCTCAACATAAAATTCAGCAAAAACATGTATAAGAGTATAGTTTAATCAATATGTTTACCCTGAGCTGAAAGGGATGGTTGATAGTTCGTTTTGATGGAATGTCATTTTGCTGAACTGTGGTTCAGTCAAGTCATAGGTTACTCTTGTGAAGTCCACTTTCTTGTTGTCGACGACGTCCCTGGCCCTTATCCACACAGTAACGGTGCTCCCGCTGGTAACGTTGTCTGAAATATGCGAAACGCCATAAATCCGGACATCTATGCTCCAGGTGAAATCGTCCGTATTGACAAAATTCAGTGTTAACGAATCACGAGTTTCTGTAATATCACGAAAAACGGGGTTACGGATAGTCGGGGTCCGAATGACGATACATTGATGTACCCTATGTGATAACAAGTTGAAGCAATTCACAGAATATTCGCAGAAGGTATTTTTCCAGGGCCAATGCATTGTTCAGACTCAAGATCGATCATACGATACATGCACATAAAGAAAAAACATCGTCTTTGTCTAAATGTCACACAAAATGCATAAAATGAAGTAGCTGTTTCATAGCTATCTTGAACAACTGATGACCTACTGTGTATAATGTACTCACCAAGTTCTTTTTGCATTGTAGTGTTCAGACCAGGGATCTCATCCCAGTTGGGAGGTGTGGCTTGTGTGCTACCCCCTGTCTTATTAACAGCATGTGTCCACTCAAACCTAACAATGCCACGTACATTGGAGATAGCTGCTGTGGTTCTTCTGCCATCATGATCATCATTTTCATACGTCACTTCCTTGTAGATTGGTGGATTTTCTACAACCTTTACCTTGAAGGGGAGGATGTTGTTGAGGAATTTACCACTTTCATGGACATAATTGAGAAAATGGTTTTGCCAGTTGATCACTAGTGGCTTGGAGGCATCGGTCATCCACTGGAAGCCCTGGTCTTGTACAGCAGATGATATGAACAGGGCATGGTTTGGATCAGTGGTCACTTCTGACTCTTTGTCGTACAGTGCAAACCTTCTCATGTATACAGAGTTATTGGCCTTGTCCACGGCTTCAAGGACGAAGGAGTACATCCCTGGTCTTGTTGGGGCATAGGGGAGAGGGTTGGAGATGGGGTCGGTGTGGTCAACTTGTCTGTGAACAAAAGGTCTCAGTTTGTCTACTTCCGTCAAGCTTCCGTTCCCAGTGGGTTCAAGTTTGAAGGCTTCCCATGTGTATTTGTCCATTCCAGATTTAGCATCGGTCCACCCTTCCCACTTCATGGTGACTGGCATCTATATAAAGCACACAACAATAAATTTTCTTTATCCAATTCCTTACAGGATGACAGAATGTCATCAAACCTTTCCCTGAAACAAGAAAATGATTATCAAGACTTTTGTATTTTTGTATTCAAAAGTCCTGGCAAGTATTTAAAATCATTGTGTTGTTTGTTTTGTAAAAAATAAATGGAAAGTTTTAAGTCAACTATTTGGAAGCTGAATGAAATTGTTTGCTTTTTATAACCAAACATTTCTATATATTCAAAATTTACCAGTTTCGATTGTCAGTGTTTGAAGAACTCATTTAACAATAGAAAGTTAACAATGTCACTTGGTTACAAAGGTCAAGGACACAATATTGTGTATGACACACAGCGAAACATGTAAAAAGTACGAAATTAGGAAATTTCTGCCAAACCCAACTATTTGAAATTGAGCAAAAGGCACCAAGCCGCAGAGGGCCCAAGCACAGATATGGAAACTGATCCTGCAAGGCCAGTCAGTCTAGTATCCTGGCTAAATAGTTTCACAATTTGCATCTCTAAAGTGACCAAACCTTGTAAAATGCCTCAGCTGTGTCCCAGTCAGCCCCTGATTTTCAGCATATTATACTATTGTTTTAATAATGATAATACTTATCCCAGTAATTTCCCCAGATTCACGATTGACAAGGGCGACGCCAACTTTGTTTGTAAGTACTGAGAGTAGTACCTACCTGATCTTTCATATTTGCATCTTTATCCATAATGGCCCCAACGGATACCGTTTTTATCGGCTGGCTTTATCCTGCCGAAATCCTTCCCATTATATGATAAAAACCAGTATGCGGTAAAACAACCGATATCATCACTGTGATCTTTGAATCACTTACCTAGCTTTTTTCAAACGATGCGGTTTTTAGTAGCTTAGAAAGACACTGCCATCTCTCCAAAAGGCCATGCATTACTCCTATGTAATCGAATTTCAATTAATTATAATCATTGGGCAATTCTTACCGTCACATGGTTTCAGTACAAAACCAATGTCTTATCGCAGATATGCCTTTGTTGAAGGTCGTTTTCACATTGGTTAACTAATGTTGAGTCCAAAAGAAATTCGCCTGATGGTATAATGATTATACATTTATGCTGTATGTGAGGTTAAGAGTACGATAAACAGTCTTACATTTGTGAATTCTGGGTGAATCTGAAAAGCATCACTGGGGCTGTTGTACACCGGTTCACCCGTGTCAACGTGGAAGGCCACAGTGCTGACAGCATCCTCTCCGGTATAGTGTTGTGTGGCTGTAGTACCTGTTCCGACTAGCTTCCGGAAGCCACCACTTGAAACTCGGAAGGTCAAGGTCAACCTTGATAAACACATATTTTGTTTAGAGGCAGGGTCTAATGATCGTGACCTCGAATCCTCTTTCCCCCTCGGTTTGTGAGTATCTTACCAATGTCATGAGTTTCATCAGATCATGACTTTGTAGTACTACACTACTGCTCACAACTTACTTACCTCTGTATCGCACTACAGTGCAAGACTGCGGAACTCGGTACATTTACGGAAGTAAAGTAGTATGTTTTCCGCTTTGTACCGCTGTGGTATCGCCAAACTCTCGTAAATAATTTCCAATGAAAAAAAGTAAGTACTTGTGAGCAACAGTGTAATGTACAGTTATCATGTAGGGCATTTGGGGAATATGTATTGTCACGTCCTTATGGTCATACACATATTAACACTGAAGGGAGGAGTAAGGTAAAGTGGGTTGACCACCAAAACACACACACACACACACACACACACACACACACACACACACACACACACACACACACACACACACACACATACATGACAGCCTCCGTGGTCTAGTGGTAGAGCGTCCGCCCGGAGAGTGCAAGGTGTTCGATCCCCGGCCGCGTCATGCCAAAAGACGGTAAAAGATGGTACTTGTTGTTACCCTGTCTGGCGCTCGGCATTAAGGGGCAAAAACAAGCACTGGTCGGCTCGGAGCCAGTATACTGTGTCTGAGTGGGGTATTCATGTTAAACGGCGGCATGGTATCTCAGTGGGCTAGCACTATAAATCGGCATCAGTCCGGACTAGTACAAGCAGCCACACACACACGCGTGCATGCACGTCGCTATATAAGTGCAATAATCTTCGACGCGACGTTAAACCCCACCTCACCTCACCTCACCTCACTCACACACACACACACACACACACACACACACACACACACACACACACACACACACACACACACACACACACACACACACACACACACACACATTGCAAGGCCTGCAAGGCCACTGTAGATGTAGCAGTATGACTTACTTGTCACCATCTGTCAAAGGATTAGTGTAACTTGTAGTAAAGGTACAGGTGACAGTTTCCTTTGGGTTTTCGGAGCCAACCGCATCATCACACTGGTGTTCCTTGTCTTGTGAGGATATATCAGGGCCACCTTGCCAAAACATAAATACGTTACATGAATGTAATTCATTTTAGACAACGATAATAATGCGGCAGCGGGAACGGTTGTTGGCTTATTTGCACTGAGTGAGTGAGTGAGTGAGTATGGTTTTACGCCGCTTTCAGCAATATTCCCGCAATATCACGGCGGGGGACACCAGAAATGGGCTTCACACATTGTACCCATGTCGGGAATCGAACCCTGGTCTTCGGCGTGACGAGCGAACGCTTTAACCACTAGGCTACCCGACCGCCCCTATTTGCAGTGGGTGATTGAGTTAGTGATTGAAATAGGAAACACACTTAATGATGGATGTACGTACACCTAGGAAAAACACTGGACAGAACCTAGACTTGAAAGTACTTTCACTTTGTTAACATGCCTTTCGCGAACACCTGGTGTCAGATCATAACCGTAAAAGCCGTAAGCGTAAAAGCCAAAATAGCAGTGAACACTATATAAATGGTTCACTCGCTGAAAATCAGCAAGAATTCGATCACTACTGATTACTTACTCAATTTGAAAAATGCTCTCGCAATTCCAGTCTTAGCTTCGGGGATATAAGCAGGGGGATATGGCAGATCTCTGCCTTTAAACATAGCACTGGCCGTCACGTTCAGCTTGTTCAGTTGTTGGCGATTTGTCCATACGATGACCTTTTCCTTCTCCTCCGTGCCATCTGCTATGAGGCTATAGATGTCCTTGCTCATCTGACCGTCATCTTCCATGTATGAAAACTGTGCCCGTATCTGTGTGACCTCAGGTACCTGGGTCTCCTTTACTGTATGATGAAATATCATTCAAATGAATCCAATAATATTAATACATTCACTGGAATGTGTCAATGCACACTTTCAACATTGACTCCTTGTCACTACCTTGACGTATATGTGAGCGGTTGCGACTGAGACTTCAGGCAAAGGCATTTTTAAGGAATGACCCTGTTGAATATTTTACATCCGTATCTTATCTGGAGTGGTAAACGTCTGAGACCTGCATCACCTCGGGCTTTCCTCCCACATTAAGCTGACACGCCGTGATATGACTGGAATAATGTTAAAAGCGGCGTTAAACCCAACTCACTCACTCACTCATGCTGAACGTATTAAATGCGAAAAAACAGTTTCTTTCAATGTAACTAAGCGTCCACAAATGTGTATTGCAGCATCCCACATCAATGATATGCTAGCTGAAGTGCCAGTACAATTCATCATTTAGGTCAATCAACTGCGTCACATAAATTAGATGGTCCTGTAGAAATTTAACATCTTACTAATCATATGTTTAAATTAGTTTAATTGTGACGGACTATTTTGTTGCAGTGTAGAAGACTGTCGTAAGAGGCGACTAACGGGATCGGGTGGTCAGGCTCGCTGACTTGGTTGATACATATCATCGATCCCAAGTGCACGGTTTGATGCTCATGATGTCAATCACTGGATTGTCTGGTCCAGGCTCGATTATTTACAGACCGCCGTCATATAGCTGGAATATTGCTGAGTGCGGCGTTAAACAACCAACTAACCAGTGTAGAAGACACACATAATGAACAGAAAGAAAACTGTCCTCGATTATTGATTCTAAAGATGTAAGTGTAATAACTACTGTATAACTGTGTGTATATTGTCTATCCATTAGACACATGGAGACAAAGTGAAGGCAGTGTTTTGAAATGTCAATAATATTTCCTTGCCCACGTGTCAGTTGGCAAAATATCAAAACTGACTCACGACGTATGCAAAACGTTCCATCGAAGTCATCCATACAGTTGCAGACAACCGCAGCACCATTTCTTTGGCATTCTCCTGGATAGCATGGTCGCTCATTATTACAGTCGACTGGAAACAATTAATTTTAGATCTTTGCTGTATAATAATTTTCAAGGAAACACAATGATATTGATTAAATACCAAATCCTTCAAAACGATTATGACCTTCTCGTGGTGAATTTTGTAAGTGTTGCGGAACGTGCTCAATTCAACAAAACCGACACGGTGTTTATAAATCTTTCTGCATACAATTACACAATATAAAAACCATGTATAATTTATTGATAAGGACACGTTTTTGAGTAAACGATATACTCTGATACAATTTCGATCGAGTTGATATTGTACAACACGAACCACTATCCCACTTACGTCCAATGCATGTCGCTCCAGTATATCCGCTCCTGCAGCTGCACCTTCCTGGGGACGTGCATGTACCTCCATTACTGCACCCAGGGTAGCAGATTGCTGAAAGCAATTCAGCAGAGAGTGTGTTGTAATATTACCAGCGAGAAACTACATTGTACGTCTTCACTATAGATTAAGTAAGACGAGTTCTATGGGTGAACAACTTCTTTATTACAATTAGTGCGACGTTTCGGTGTAGATCCTAACACCTTTATCAAGCAAGTGCAAGTTGTTCATCCATAGAACTCGTCTTACTTCATCACACCAACTTCTAAATGCCACTGAAAGAAGTTGACTATGGATTAAGTAAGACGAGTTCTATGGATGAACAACTTCTTTATTACAATTAGTGCGACGTTTCGGTGTAGATCCTAACACCTTTATCAAGCAAGTGCAAGTTGTTCATCCATAGAACTCGTCTTACTTCATCACACCAACTTCTAAATGCCACTGAAAGAAATTGACTATGGATTAAGTAAGACGAGTTCTATGGATGAACAACTTCTTTATTACAATTAGTGCGACGTTTCGGTGTAGATCCTAACACCTTTATCAAGCACTTGCTGGATAAAGGTGTTAGGATCTACACCGAAACGTCGCACTAATTGTACTTGCTTGATAAAGGTGTTAGGATCTACACCGAAACGTCGCACTAATTGTACTTGCTTGATAAAGGTGTTAGGAACTACACCGAAACGTCGCACTAATTGTAATAAAGAAGTTGTTCATCCATAGAACTCGTCCTACTTCATCACACCAACTTCTAAATGCCACTGAAAGAAGTTGACTATGGATGATGTTCACCACAATGTCATCAGCTTCTGCAACATCTAACTTCATGAAGTTATGGTGCATGTCTTTATGCAACAATTCCTGCTTGCCCATGTCCTCTCATCAAACAGACTCTCATTTGTATGATATTGTGACTTTCTATATTGAGTACTTTACAAAAGAAACGACAAAGTGGCTATTGTATTTAACAGGCCTTTAAACGACGTAAGGCCAAGGCAATGCACGGGTGAAGTTGCTGTTATATGACTTTTGGAAACTGCTCCAAAACAAAAAAGGTAATGTTTCATCGAAGTGAACTAATTGTGATTTTAAGGTCATTTCACAACATACCATTCATCAGTCTGAAAATGTAATCTTTTCCCACGTGTTCACTGACCTAACAAGTGAAGAACTGTATTTCAAAAAGAAAAGCAAACAGAGCTAATTCTTCATTTTGAAATACTTCAGAAGCCCGACCCGTGAAGATCCGGGGTAGAAAAGGTCTTCAGCACCCCATACTTGCCGTAAAAGGCCTCTATGCTTGTCGTAAGAGGCGACTAACAGGATCGGGTGGTCAGGCTCGCTGACTTGGTTGAAGCATGTCATCGATCCCAATAGTGTGGATCGATGCTCATAATGTCAATCACTGGATTGTCTGGTCCAGACTCGATTATTTACCGACCGCCGTCATACAGTTGGAATATTGCTGAATGCGGTGTTAAACAACAACAAACAACAACAACAACTTCAGAAGCACATGCTTGTACATAAATGGCATGACATCTGCATATAAGTCATTTTCACTGTGAACATGCATTTATCTGACCTATTCATATTTTCTAAAACCATACAAACCGATATTGCAGTTTTCATCTCCATCGTCCCTCCACCCGGGACAACACTTGTACACTGTAGTGTAAATGGGTTGGTGTACCAATGCGTGAGCACAGCAACTGAAACATGGAATATTGATAGCATTAATATCAAAGTATGCACTCTGGTTGAAGATCTCTCCAATCTTTGTTTGCACCGAGAGACAATAGTCCACAATCACTTGACATTGTTTTGGGACACTACTTCTAGCTATAGTCTATGTTCGGGACAAAGCTGATCGCTGGTTCCTGTTGATAAACATGACCATGTTTCAAAGTGAAAATCAAGGAAACCCGAAATATATTACTATCCCTGTAGTTAGTCCGTGGCAACATGTTCACAAAAGCGACAAAGTCCTTTCGATGATAATAAACAATGGTAAATATAGAAACGGAAACCTACCCCCACCACCAACAGGGACAACTACACACGTAGCTTGATGTGTATGAGACAATAGTGTAGGGACATGCATGTCTGAAAGAAGAACATTCATGTTATTATTAATTAAATAAATATGTTTCCCCCAATATAATACTATGCTTGCAACAGTATTCGATTACCTCCTCTGTTGATTGAGTCACCGGTGTCAGAGCTCCGGGGAATTTTCCTGAATATAAATGTTCATGATCTCACCAAGGAATGTAAACAGCGTGAATATGTCAATCATGCATTAGGAAAGATCGTAAGTGAAAATGGGCATCACGCTCGAACTATTCAAAGATGCCATGTTGGATCGTACACACTATTCATCTACATTTAGTGATTATGTGACTATTCAGGAACAACCTCTATTGATTACGTTATTGTATCCAGCAACCTTTTTTTATAAATGTGACAACTTTAGCGTGGTTTCATGTGGCGAGTCCGTTCATTTGCCGATCTCGTGCACGTGTCAGTCACGGGATCATCCTAACTTTGAACCCACCCACTGTAGGACTTTTTCAATAGAAGAATCCGACTCTTGTGTTCTGAAAAAGCTTTAGTTGAAATTAATGGCTATGTGCATTTATTTACCAGCACTATGTAACGCTGCGGAATCAATGAAGATGAAGTTATCTTGTATCCTTAACAATCAAATGATAATGAATGTTCTCATATTATAGGACGAAAAGAGACAGGCTGCTTAAATGTTTTAGGTGTTGCAAGGGTAATGTCTCATTACAATTGTACATCAAATCTCGGAATATATACTCACAGGCAAAAGAAACGCAAGTCGAGTATGCAGTATAAATGTTATTTATTTTCAACAGTAGAGACACGAAATACTAATATGGCAAGATTCACAACAATTTGACTGAAGACAGCTTAATGGATTAAAGGCAGATGACATAAAAAAAAATTCAAATGTTAAGGGCTTACACAGTTTCGGGTCAATACCCAAAATGTCAGTCAATACCTGGTGTGACAACCATTAGCATTAATCACTGCCACACATCTCCTGTACATTGAGTGGATCAGATTTGTGAAGGCCCTAGGGATCCTCCTGCACACATCCAGAGCAGCTGTCCGTAGTTCATCGGCAGTTGTAGGGACTGGGCGCACATTGTGTAGACGCCTTTTAACCTCATCCCACATGTGTTCGATGGGGTTCAGATCAGGGCTGAGGGCTGGACACGGTAGAGCACGGATGTTGTGTTGTTGCAGAAAGGCCATGGTAGCTCTGGCAACACGGGGACGAGCGTTGTCCTGCTGGAAAATATGTTGTTGATGTTGTGCAACGTGGGGTCTGATCACTTGGTCGATATACCGTTGAGCAGTGAAGCCGTGTCCCCGACCTTGACCAACATTCAGAAAGCATATGGGTCCAAGCTTCGCATTAAGTCAAATCCGTGCCCATATCATGACGCTAGGTCCACCCCATGGATCCCTTTCCACAACGTTTCTGTCTGCGAAACGATTTCCTCGACGCCGACAAATTCTGACTCTTCCGTCTGCATGGGAGATACAAAAGCGTCTTTCATCAGAGAAGATGACACGCCTCCACTCACGATGACGCCAATTTTGATGACCCTGTGTCCACTGAAGTCGTGCTTGTCGATGCCGTGGTTGGAGAACAGGACGACGTGCTGGTCGGCGACATCTGAGGTTGTTGGTACGGAGACGTCGAATCACAGGGTCCCGGCTAATGTGTCGATTATATGTTCCTATGGTCTTTCGAGCACTTGCAGTTAGGAACGGATGTCGCTGGTGTTGACGGGTAATCTGTCGATCTTGTTGAGGTGTGGTGACCCTAGGACGACCGCTCCGAGGAAGCTCATCTGTGGTCTGTGTAGCACTGTATCGATGCAGGAGACGGTAAATTGTGGATATGTTAACGTTGAAATGACGGCCTTGGACAGACTCTCCAGCTTCCAAACGTCCGATAGCCTGGTTTCTCTGAATTTGAGTTAGGCGTGGCATTGTTGACCAAGGAGTGGTAGGTCCAAGCATCGGCCACAGTTTTATACCCACTACAGTTTGTGACAGTGATTTCGCGAGAAATGGGTGCATGATACCCACATATTCATTGAAATGGTGCATTTTGGCGATTCGTTTTTTATGTTGCGTTTTTACTCGGGGCTTCCAAAATGCAACCAAAAATACTGATAACACCATCAGGCTTCACAAAATGCTAAAACTCGTATCAATTTATGGTTCCGTGCTTGTTACCTATTTGCTTAAAACCACTTGCGTTTCTTTAGCGTGTGAGTATATATATATCTGTGATAATAATTATCCATTGATAATATGAAAGATAAATTATTTTTCTTGTATGCATGTTGCCTAAACGTTTTGTCGGACACTAAAACAATTCAAAGTTCCATATAAATCGCCAATAACGACTGAAAAGTGGTTTGAACATTTTATAACTTTACTTGACACTCCTGAACATGATTTAAATGAGGCATGAATATGTAATCTCAGAATTGTTTCAGACTTGCCCAAGACATTTTTTTACCATATATGGAACATGTATTTAATATACTGTAAGTAAGGCCACTTTACACGGTGCACTGGCGTAGTTATTCCATTGCATGGAAAAGGTTCGTCTCCCCGATCAATTACAGAGGAATAACATTGTTAAGTGTTTTTAGAAAGACATTTACAGCAGTACTAAATAATAGGTTAGCTTATTGGTCCAACGCTTGTGATAATATTGTGGAATCACACGCAGGTTTTACAACGCTATAGCACTATTGACAATATTTATATTTTACAAGCGGTCCTCCAACATTACCTGTCAAACAAAGTGGAAATTATATGAAATTATTGTTGACTTTTTGAAGGCATTGTCCTTGTATATAGACTTAATTAATAATGGAATATGTTAACAAATTATGGAATATATTTAAAATGACTTCGAGCTTCGCAATCTATTTACAAATGTGTTAAAGGCTTTGCTAGCTACTTCCCATACTTTTGAGTGTCCTTTAGGACAAAGACAAGGCTGTGTTTTAAGTCCTCTATTATTCACTTTTTTAACAAATGAAGTAGCAACTGGCTTCCTGTGCCAGTTCCACCCTGAACCTGTTTTTATTGTTATTTGCATATTGTGTTATCATGATTTCTGATATAGTGTACGAGCTACAAAGACGCATCAATGCTTTAAAATCTTGTTGTGACAATTACCGTTTCTGTGTTTATTTTGATAAGACAAAGGTGAGTGAGAATGGAGGAAGAAGTATGATGGACAACCCGCTTGTTTGTGTACCTATATAAATACTTAGGATTTACGTTTACTAAATCTATATCATGGTCCAAACATGTTAAAGATGTTCCCTTGCAAGCTAGAAGGATTCTATATGGTGTTTTTAAATGTGTGTCAATACTAAAACCGTTACCGTTTCTTTTATTCTTTCAAAATATTTGACGCAAAGACGAGTCCAATTTTACTTTATGGGGCAGCAGAATGGGGTGTAAATCGTGAATTATTTCAAGAAATTGAAACTGTACATATGTTGTCATGTTAGCGCCTGCAGAGTGTAAATCTACAACTGCAAATGATGTTGTTAGAGGTGAATGTGGATGATGCCCACTATATACGCGTTGTACAAGACTGTTGTGAAGCTTAATGTATGCCTGACTCCAAAATCAAATGTCAGAAAATTCAAAATTTCTTTCTTATATATGTGACAGTGTTTCATTTTATACAATTGATATTATTGTATGAAGCCTAAATCATGTGATGGGATTGTGACTCTAATTCACATAACAATTTGTTTCTACGAACTAGCAGTATTTTATCAATACAGTTATTGTGTGGATAGTCTAAAATAGTATACTGAAAGGTCAGACCGTCGAAAAGGTCATTGCAAACCAAAATAAGTATACTGTCGTGCAAAAGAAAATATACACCCATGCTTGATGGTGGTTATTAATGAAACAAACAAGAAATGGTATTCGATGGTGATGTATTTGATACAGGTATCTTGGTTGTGTTTGGAACCTTATATAAGCTTGCAGTGTTTCGATGACTGTCTTCAGCCTAGTAACGTGTTGATGATGTCTGTCCTGTTGTGGTCAAATATTTTGTCCGGCAGTTTATAATACTCATAAAAAAGTACCGCCTTGGTATTACTGATATGCCCTGGTCCAACGCTTGTGTTATGAAATCCTACAGCCGCACGTTGTTTCTAGTGTGAATCAGGCTGACGTCACTTTCAACACAACATTGCTAGACGCTATACATCACGAGTCCAAGCAGCATTATTTGAGAACCAAAACATATAGGTTCCACGTAGCCTCAGATTGGAACCTAACAAAAACACACGCGGGATGAACTGGTGCGACATCGTCATCCTGAACCAGAGACGGTGCAATAGGTACGTACACTACAGCCTGGGTTGGCTAACATTCCCCAACGTGTGATCAGTCCATTTCCTTCCGTAATGTCTTCATATTGGACAGTGTCCACTGCTGTCCTGTGTGAAATATGTCATCACTCATGTGTTCAGATGTGCAATAAATGTGTGACCCCCAACATCAAATATCTGATTATTTCAATATTTGCAGGAGGATATGGGAGATCGTGCACGTTACCTGCGTTAATGCAACTTCATCCTCATTCACACATTTGTCAGTTTTACAGTCACAGGCAGTCACATATAGTCACATATAATATAGTTACATGCAGTCACATACAGTCACAGAATCACATACAGTCACATGTAGTCACATATAGACAAATATAATACAGTTACATACAGTCAAATATAGTCACATGCAGTCCAATATAGTTACATACAGACACATAACTCACATGTACAGTCACAAAGAGTTACATATAGTCACATACAGTCACAGAATCACACAGTCACATATAGTCACATGTACAGTCTCATATAATACAGTTACATACAGTCACATACAGTCTCATATAATACAGTTACATACAGTCACATACAGTCACATACAGTCTCATATAGGCACATACAGTCACATGTAATGTAGTTACATACAGTCACATATGGTCAAATGTACAGTCACATTGAGTT